GACCCCAGATAGGTAAGATTTCAGAAAAAGATAACAGGTCAAAGCCAGCAGGTTGCAGGGAGAGGCACTTTCTGCCTCCCAAAATATCCTCATGGGCTTCCATGTCCAAACTCAGTGTCTGATCCCTCACACAGGAGAATAGCCAAAGTGACCTCTGACCCTGCAGCTGATCCTGGAAGATCGGGCGGTTGGGTTCAAGAGCGTCTGGATCTCACCCTAACAGGAGTACATAGTTAAACTTGTTTATAAGAAGAGCAATGCTGGAGAGACGGCTTAGTGACTAAAATGCTTGCTCTGCAAGCTTAGGATCTAGAGTTCAGATTTACAGAACCATGTAAATACCTTGTGGGTGTGTTGGCCTGCCTATAATCCCAGCACTTGAGAGGCAGGGAGAGAGGACACTAGGGCCAGCTGGCTAGCTATACCAGTCAGTTAAAGCTAGAGACGATGGAAGAAGACTCACTCAGCTCTGATGTGTGGGCACACTTACATGGACACCTATACACAAGTGAACACATGCAGACACTCATACATGGGCAAAACTTCCAAGACAGCACCCAGGAAGCCTGTTGGCTAAGGACAGCAACAGCAAGAAGCAGCAGGCCACAGTGGCTCCCTCACCCGCACCGTGTGTGCCACTACCCAGGCCAGCCATGATGTGTCCCTTTCAGAACTAGTAAATAATCACACACACACACCCCTGGGAGATGCTGGGCCCCAGACACCAGGCTCAGAGTCAACTTCAGGGGATGCCTGGCTATCAGAGATGCAAGCAAAGGGGATTCTCCATCACTCGGGTTTGTTTCTGTCCCTAGAGCCAGAGGCCATGGCTGCATTCTCCTTAGAAACGGGCATGTTGAAGTACAATGCACTTGTAGCAGCCCAGCAAGCCATCTCAGTATGAGTGACATGGAGCCCAAAGCTGAGTCAGGAGCAGATGTGACCAGTGCAGGAGCTGCCCACTCCTCAGAGCTAACCTCTAGGTATGGAATCGGGAGGCTACTCCTGGCTAACTCAGAAGACAGAGCCTACAAACTGCTCACTGGCTGAGTGCGACTCATATGGCAAGAAAACCTCAAGCTACAAACCTAGAGGAGGTGGTTCTGGCTGGCAGTACTCTGCCACCTAGCAAACGTAACCAAAAGACCTCAGGCTGGCAGGTTAAGACATTTGCTACCAAGTATGGTGACCTAAGTTCCGTACCCAGGGACCATCTGATAGGAGAGGACAGATTCCTGCAACTTGCCCTCTGACCACATGTGTACTGTGACACGTGTGTTCACACGATAAATATTTTTCAACGTGTTCTTCTGGGAAAGTGACCCTTGTTCCTATTTTTACAACCCAAAGGTAAGGTCTCATGAGCTCAGGGTAGTTCACAGTTGAAAATAAGACAGCCAGGCCTGGGGGTGACAGCAGAAAGGAGCCAGTGGGGGGAGGTGGCATCGATGCTGGATGGCCTGTGGGAAGATGCAGGAATGCAGGCATCTGAATGCACCCCTAGGTTCAAGAGACAGCTGCATTAAATGAGTGTCTTCACAGTAAGAAGAGCTGGAGCCACTTGGTTCACTGGGGGAAGACTAAAGTCACCTTGTGTCAAGCACAGTGTAAAACGGGCCATAGCCCAGTATGCAGACATGCTGATAAGAACTAGAAGATGGCCAGGCGGCGGTGGCACATGCCTTTAATCTCATGAACTGGGGGTAGTGGCACATGCCTGTAATCTCAGCACTGGGGAAGTGGAGACTGAAGGATCAGTAGGTTATCCTCTTATGTCTAAAGAGGAAATATGTGCAGTACATCAGAAAGGGTTCCTTGCCTAAACTGCACAGAGAATTGTCCAGCAAAAGGATCATGTAGGCTCTTTGCCAGTGAAGATGCCCACGTGGCCAGCAGCATGGGAAGGGGCACTCAGCATGTACAGGTGAGGAAATGCAGATTCTTCAGTGAGATGCCACTGTATCCCCCTCCCCTGAAATGACTCAGCTCAGAGTCCCCAGGCCTGTGTGTGTGTGTGTGTGTGTGTGTGTTGAAGTGTGCAATGGTGAAGACTTTTAAGATTTGAACACTACCATACAACCTGAACCAGCACTAGCATGAATGCATGTTCTAAGAATGCCATAGCAAGTTTACTCATAGCTGTCCCAGCTGTAAGCAACCTGATGGAGCAGGAGTGTTAGAGGCAAAACACAGCGTATGGTATGTTTGTGTGCTGGGAGAGTATTTAAATGAGTGACTGACGTGTGAATCTCAGCACTTTGCTAAGCTAACATAGCTGAATGCAAGGCCAAATTAATCTATCTCTAGAGATGGGTGCCAAAGCGTCATTTGCACACCATCTCTTCAGTTGTGATGGAGGGTATGCTCCTGAAGATGACAGCTTAAGTCAAGAAAGAAAGCATGGGGCCCAGCCCAGGAAAGGTGCCTAAAGACTATGAGATACCAACAGCCACTAACAGTAAGCCCTTGACTGGAATGGTTCAGAAGCTTCTAGAGACTCAACAACAGAAAGGGTTGTGCCTGTGTTGGGACATTCTGAGATGAGATTACACAACTGGAGGAAGGTTGACCACGTATGAATGGTGAGCCACAGAAGGTTGCATTCCAAAGAGAACTGCAGCTTAGCAAGGGGGGCAGCAGAGTGACGTGGGAGTCCCCCTGGAGTTCTCAGTCACACTGGGTGAGCACGAGGGCAGGCCTGGCCAGAGCTGCATATGGGAAGCGCGGAATGTGTGCACACAGGTGGCACAGGGCATCCTCACGGTCCACGTGAAGAATGGGTACGTAGGACCTGGGCTGACAGGTGGCCACAAAATGGACAAGTTCATACAGTGACACAGACACAGAACTCTTAAGGCAGTTGAAAGTGGAGGTTGGACAGGGCTGCTCTCTTTAATAACAAGTCTAGATCTCGGGGCTGGGCATGTGACTCAGCAGGTGGAGTGCTTACTTAGCATGCACGAAGCCCTGGTTTGGTCCCCAGTGGCATAAACTGAGTGTGGTATTGCAAGCCTGTAATCCTGAAACTTGGGAGACTGAGGCAGGACGATCAGAAGTTCAGGTCATCCTTGGCTACACAGTGAATTCAAGGCTGACCTGAGCTACATGAGATCCTGTCTCAACAACAACAAAATCTTGTAGATATATCTGACTTGAGAAGCATCCCGGATAAAAACATTAGCAAGCGTCCATCTATGATGTCTTAAAAAAGAACCTAATGCAAGAAAGCTAAACACACAAGCAGGCCATGCAGAGGGGCCATTCTGAGGCCATGGAGCTGCTGGAGTGCCTGAGAATCTGCTGCTCCTCTGAGGGAAATGAAAATAGGACTCAGAAAACACCCAACACATCCTGATGGCAGAAAGCACGTCTACCCAGTCCTCCAGACACTCATTACAACTAATGAATAAGAATCTGACAGAAAGCAAAGATATGCACCTGCTCAGCCTGGTGGAAAGTACATCACCCACCAGGAGGCAGCATCTTGCAGCAGGACGAGCCACCTGAGCCTCCACACCCATCAGTAATGCCCAATGGCCCACCAAGGTCCACGTGCACAGTGGGTTACCCGATACGCTGAGTGACAGTGATAGCAATGGCTTCTCACAATGATTGGGCCAGGGTGGCAGTATGGCTTCTTGGTGTATTAGGAGGAGCAAGGCAATGCCTACTTAGAATGCTATTTTCATAAAATAAAAATGTTGACATATGTGTGTGGTGTGTATGCCTGTATGTTTACATGTGTGGGCAGTTAAGTAGAGGTTGCATAACCACATGTGTGTGCATATAAGCAGAGGCCCAAAGTTAATACTGGGTGTTTTTCAATCCATACTCAACTTCAGGTCTCTGAACCTGGAATTCTCTAATTCTGCCTTACCTAGCTAGCCAGCTCCCCCACAGGGAAGCCTCCTAAGTGCTGGGATGATTGGAGGGCTGCCACGCCCATCTGCATTTTCGTGAGTCCTGGGATCTTTTGTTCTACAAGACTCGTGACTGTTCTAAGAAAACACACCAGTTTACCCAGGCTGGCTCAAGTTCCTGGCAATCATTCACCCTCAGCTTCACATGAGCTGGTGTCACTGATGGACCCACCACACTCAGTTCCTAAACGTTTAACTCCCTTGAGACAGCCTTATTTGAGGAGCTGTGGGTATTGGTGCCCTTGGGTTAGCCAGAGGACACATGTGGGTGGCATGACCTACCTGCTCATTGAGCTGGATCCTGAGTGCCTAACAGCACCAATCTTACACTCGTCTCTGGGCCTAGATATCCTGCAGAGAAAACCTGGCCCTCTCCATCCTGGCTGCCTTCCAGGACAACCATGGTCCTCTCCTACGAGCCCTCCCAGGATGCTCCACACAGACTCACGTGCCTCGGTCCATTGTGCTCAGCAGCCATGCACCCACCACGTGCTCTCCAGTGTTGTCTCCAGATCCTTACTGCACTTAGCACACTCAGAGCTCCGTCTACAGCTCTGTGTCACACTGATAGATGAAGAGTGCCTCCACATAGTCCCTGTAGCAAAATAAGACTGCCCACCTGACATGTGTTCCCAGGCACAGTGTGGGGGGCACAAGCGTCCTGTGTGAGGACCTGGTGGCTGATGGACGGTAGCCCACCCGACATGTGTTCCCAGGCACAGTGTGGGGGGGCACAGGAGTCCTGTGTGGGGAGTTGGTGGCTGATGGACTGTAGATACACTGCTCTGTCAAGATCTGTGTATACAGGTCTGATCGCAAAGTCCTCCCAGGACTCACTCACATGTCAACCAGTGCTGGGCCTGGCCTAGAACTGGGTTTGGGTACACAGCCCAGAAAGGATCCAAAGCAGAGTTCCTGATCTGACCGGAGCAGTCAGGATAAGATGGCATCCATGAGGAAGGGGTGGAGGAGGACAGCCAAAAAGGCAGTAAATTCCAACATGGCACCACCATGACCCAGCAGCAAGACGTTGGTCCCACCAAGTCCAGGGCAGAAATTACATATGAAAGGCATCACGGCTTTGGAAAATAATATGGATTGTTAAAAATATAACAGCAGAGATTTAAAACAGTTTACCCAACTGGCTGGAATAGGTCCCAACAAGATGACAATAAGAACAGTTCTGTCCCCACCATGGTCTTCACTCAAGGTGCAGGGCCTGGCTCAGTAGCGACACTGCAGGAGGAGGTGGGTAGGGGAGGCTGCAGGATCCCAGGCGCAGAGCCAGTCAGGTGTATGGCGGTTGCAAGTCACAGGTCCCTCTGCAGTGCAGAGCTGGTTCAGACTGCTCTGCTAGTGTAAGCTGTCATCATGGCCACTCATCCAGGATGGGAAGTGCAGCTTGCATTCCAGGCCAGGGAGACTGTTTTCAGTTTCCACTGGTAGGCTGTAGCTGGAGATAGGTGTCTTGGCACCCCCATAGCCTAGAACTTGTTCAGGCCAAAAGAAGGGTCAGTCTTGGGCACCAGTGAGGCTAGAGGCCCTAATGGCAGAGAGAAGACTGCTACATGGCTTTCACACACTGGAATGAACTGAGATGGATGGGCCCAGAACCTTCGGCGGCTCATTCCAAAGCACAAAGACCAACCACAGCCTCCATTGCAGCAGGAGGCCAAGATTCAGCTTCCATCACTGACCACCGGAGTACACAGACAGGCCAGGGACCCTAGCCACAAGGGCCGGACCCACAAAAGGATAAAGATGGTCCAGCTGGCCAGGTGCCCAGCAAGCCCCAACCTGAGCTGCAGCCTCAGGACCCTTTCTTCCGCTGCTCCAGCTCTGACAATCGTTCTTCCCGGGTTTGTGCATGCCGGACCCCCACGCGATGTGCTGTCTCTGTAGCCATGATGTCGATCTGGGCATAGCCGGAAGTGCTGGCCCCTGAAAGCAACCCGCAGTGAGTGGACCCAGCAGGACTAGCGCCCAGCCCAGCTGCCCCTGGCCTGGTCTGCAGGTGCCTCCGGTGATAGGGTCAGTGGGCACTCTGATCCATCCCTATTCTCACCAGCAGTCATGTCGGGACCTGGGTGGCAGCTCTAGAGGCAGGATCTGAGGGTCCTGGCTGTTTGGGAAGGTCACTTGCAGGCTGGGAGGAAGGGCTCCCTAGCCAGCTGAGGTGATGGTTACAACTCTCCTATGAGGCCTCCCTGTAGGAACTCACCTCGCACACTCCCACTGGCCCCTGGGAACTCCAGGCCCATGTAGTGCAGCTGCAGTCGAGAGGTAGGACTGATGGGGATGTTCACATAGGTGGGCATCTCACTACGTGGTCGTTCCAGCCCTGGGCTGTCAGAAGCCATGGGCCCTGGAGATCCTGTGGAGAGAAGGACTCTGAATCCCTGAGATGTAACTGGGAGCTGTACAGCCCCCCTCTCTCCCAAGGCCACTCAACAAAGAACTTCCCCACCCTTCATGGCCCAGTCCCCTCCCCCACCTTCTATCTCACCTTGGAGACACTCCCCAATTCTCCCGTTTTCCACTGGTCTAGTGCTTTGATCCTAGGATTCACTCACTCCCCCCATCCCTATGGACCCCACAACACTTGGAATAGAGGCAGGTTAGACACAGGCAGGCTGGTGAAGTCCTTGCCCCGTAGCTTATGCCAAGCCCACAGAATCCAGTCCAGGGCTGGGGTTCAGGCTGGGGACATTGAGAGTCCCACAGGTAAGTTTGCTTCTATACACCATATCCAGAGAGAGGCCTGGCTCTGCCTGTCTGTCCCAGGATCCCAACCACCCCCGCCACATCCCTGACACAGCTCCCTCTGTAACATTCAGTCAGTGCCTCTCCCCGTCCTCCAGCTTCCTGCTGCCAACATGGCTGGTGTGGAATGTGGCAACAGTTTGCTCTTCACAGAGAGACTAAGGCAGAGAGACCCCAAGTTCCCAAGTCACATATCCATCAGCCGGTACATCCAGATGAGACCCAGGATGTGGGGGGGGGTCTACCTCTGGCTATTCACTGAAGCAAAGAGCAGTTCTATCCCTGTCCCCCAGACTTGGGGACCCCATGACAGACCCCACTATACAGTACATGTCCTTGGAGGCCTTAAGGTCCTTGTACTGCCTAAGCTACGGTGCAGCTCAGCTGCTGCACAGGGCCAAGTGGGAAGTCCATCGCTGGCCTCAGATCAGGGAGCTGGCTTTGCTTGCTCACAGAACATCCTGTCTTAGCCCCTGGCAAGCAAAGGCAGGCTCAGGGTTTTCAATCCCCAGAAAATCTCTGATCTGAAGCAAAGGATTTCTGACGCTCATGCATCTGTAGCACAGAAAATCCATCATAGCAGAAGAAAACCTCCCCCAAGGAGGCTTAGCCAGCAGGGTGGAGGGAAAGCCAGTGCCGGCCTGCACTGCCTGTCCAGGCAACAAGGCAGAGCCCACAGCAGGCCTTCCCAGGGCTGGGTCACAGACTGAGAAGGGGCATAGCTAAGGGAAGGAGGAGAGAGGATGGGATGTAGTGAGCCAGGACTGGAGACTGAAGAAGCTGGACCTCAGCACTGAGCCTTTGAAGGCCGGAGAAGGAGAGCTGCGACTGGGCTCCATGCCTCAGTGGGCTTGAACATGCTCCCTGAGTCTTAGTACTCTGGGATTCAATCCGTTTTTTTCAAGATGGTCTAGTCAAGGTGAATTGAAGAGGAGCAGGGAGAAGCAGAAGAAACCTGAAACCTAACTCAGGGACATAGATGAAAAGTTCGAAGCCAACTGATATCCAAAGTCAAAGACCAGAAGGGTGCTGTTGAGATACCATGAAGTACCTCCTCTCCAGCTAAACTCACTATCCTCCCAAGAGGACATGACCAGTTGGTCAGGAAGGTGTGGGTTCACTATGCCCCATGTCCTTCCTGGTACTTTAATTCAGTTTTAGCTTTGGCAGCATCGTTGTAAGACTCGAATACTGGAACAAAACAGACAACGGGATATTATTGCCTGACTTTTCCCTCCCACAACTGCAGGCTGAACGATCGCCACCGACTATAACCAGACACACCTTTGTTCCTAGTCTGGCCCGGGGCAAACTCACATGTCCCTCATCAGTCAGGGTCCTACCTCCCATGACACCCCACCCTTGCCTTCAGAGGGACAAGGGACCTGTCCTCAGTTTTGGTCCTGGGGTAGGGTATCCTCTTTATCAAAGTAAAATTCTGGCATCCTAGTGGGGTGGTAGTATAGGGAGATGCCTAGTGAGGGCCACCCCTGCTACTTCATGATGTCAGGGAGGACCCTGGACCATAGGCTCCACATGGCCCAGCATCCAGGCTGAGCATCCCAGACAGAAAACCTCAGCAATAGATGGGATTGGGCCCTCCTGTTGGCCAGTGTGCTGACCCTGCCTGCCTCTGGCCCCACCCACTGCTTTCTACCCCGCCGTCCTTGGGTCTGATTGGATTCTATCTTACCTACAGGGTTTGGCCTTCCAAAGGCACCACTCACCTCTGAAAAAAAGACCCAGGGATCTGTGGCACCCATGCACGAGTAGACAAAGCCAGAGGCACCCTTGGCCTCCAGCCACCTGGCCCAAGGCTAGGCACCTGAGATCTATAGCCTCTCCCAACCCTCCCAGGTTGGTCTACCACCCTCGAGCCTTCATCCACTGACAACCAGGCTTCTCCCCAGAAGTCTCCCTTGCTTGCTGAGTTCTCTGACATTCCCACCCTTCCACAAGCCTGCCCTGAGGATCTGGAACCTCCGGGGACCATTGCTTTCTTGCGGCTTGGAGCCAAACCCCTCAAATCTGATTCCTTAGCTGGACCATGGTCCAGCTGTCCACTGGTCACTCCTAGACAGGTCATCTAGTCATGCCCCAGAGCCATGCACCTGTCCTTAGCTTACCACCTCATCCTGCTCACCTGTTCCAGGCTACCCAAATGCCACTGTCACCCCCACTGTCCATACCCCTCCCATCCAACAGGGCCACCCCTTAGCTCTGAATCCTTCATCCCTGCACTGTGAGTGATGGGGTCCAAAGCCAGGTGCCTACCTGGATATGTCACAGTGAGTCCAGGGGGTGACGTAGCCATGACCTAGACCAAAGACAACAGGCATTAGTGTGTACACCCTGCTCACCCTTTGCCCTGCCCCTCTGAACCCAAAGAAACAGAATGGTAACTCCCAAAACGGCATAGATCTGAAGATCTGGACAAACTACAGACTGGAGGAACACAGCTTTATCCTCCAGACCCTTTGGTTCTTAGACCCCATTGCCCTGACAGTCCAGGAGACAGCTGAGGCCAGGGGTACTCTGAGGATGGTTACAAACAAGGGTCCCCAGGTGCTCCCTTCCAGCTATGGTTCAGCTAGACCCTACAGCCCATCATATGATTGCTGAACAACATGGCTATGTGGCCATAGTGACCAGTGTTACTCTGGTTGTCCCATACCTTACAGCACCTTCCTGGGAACCCACCGGCAAGACAGTCACCCAACCCCAAAATGAGTCCTGGGTCTGTGCTTCAGGGCAGAGCCCGATCAGGGAGTGGATGGATTTGAAAGGAAACCGTTCAGAGTGGCTGCAGGGGCAGGTGGGGGGAGGAGGAAGGCCACAGCTGGGCGCATTTGCCGTCTCATTCATAGACAGCCACCCCCCTCCAGCAGGGAGAACCTGCCCAGGGACAAACATTCCAGCACCTGTTGCAAAAGGGCCTTTCCTGAGCAGGTAAGTGTGCCACAACCCCAGCGACTCTGAAGGAGCAACTTGGTAGTGAGGCCTCATGGGGTGGGAGGTGGGGCAGAAAAGGGAGCGTGACATCCGGCACTGTTCAGGCCAGCCTTGAGAGTGATAGTCACATGCCCAGGACACAGGCAGGGTACATGGGCTGCCCTGAGTGGACCATGTGGCTCTGACTGCATCACCATTTATAACAGAGCCTTGTGCACTCAGGTATAAAGCAGCCCCAGGACAAGAGTCGGACACCGTAGAACCAACCACATACTGTCCTCTGAAGGTGTCCTTTGTTACTAAGTAAGAGGCCATCTCCTTAGCAGTCCCCACAAAGGGCATCTGTTCAGGGAGGGTCATGGCTATGGGATCAACACTTGACTCTAGGCATGGGGAGACCACATGGGACACTAGAGCATGTGATCAGCTTAGGCCCTTGGGTGGCTGTTTGTGAGGAGGCAAGGTCTGAGGCCAGCATCTGCCCCATCCTACCAGCCACCCCATCTCATGAAGAGAAGTCGCCGCTGGCGGCCCTGGGTTCCACATGGGGCCCTAATCACTGACGCCTTTGCAAACTGCTGGGGCTTCTAGTGTCATGAGGGATGGTCTTCCCCCAGAAACTTTCCACACACCCAGGCCAGCCTCCACACACCCAGACCAGCCTCCACACACCCAGGCCAGCCTCCACACACCCAGGCCAGCCTCCACACACCCAGGCCAGCCTCCACACACCCAGGCCAGCCTCCACACACCCAGGCCAGCCTCCACACACCCAGGCCAGCCTCCACACACCCAGGCCAGCCTCCACACACCCAGGGCCAGGGCCCAAGCCACCTTGCCTCAGGCAGAGGGTGGACATCCAGGCATGGATTCAGCTTTACCAGACCTGCCCACCTGCTGTAGGGAGGTCCCATGGAAACAGAGAGAACTAAGTACAGAGAACAAGGGGCTCAGGCCAGAGCCCTGACTGCCCCTGCAGCTGGCCATCCTGCTGGCTCCCTGGTCCTGGGAATCTGCATTCTGCAGAAAGAATGCCTGGCTCTCTCTAGTGAACACACATCTGCTGAGTGCTTACACAGGATCTCACCAGACCCTTGGGCCAGCCCATGAGGTGAGGACGGTTACCCATCAATAGAGGAGGAAACTGAGGCTCAGAGGTACAGTGACTTTCAGGGTCACCCAGTCAGTGGGTATTCAATGTGGCCAAGCCCCCAAAGCCTGCTCTTCCCTGCACAGCAGCTTGGGGGAGCCAGGCTCCCAACTTCCAGCAGGGCTGCTGGCAAGGATGGAAACAGGCAGGCCGGGCTCCCTGGCTCTCTCTGCATGGGTCGGGGTGGGGGGCAGGGGATGAAATGGGTTGGGTTGGTTAGGTTAGGGGTTGGGTGAGATGAGCACAGAGCAGGCTCCACATGGGGAGTGAAACACACGACACTGATCATGGACAGCCCTGGGCCTGAGTCTCAACGACCACTGATCACCTCTGTGGTTTCCACAAGCCATCTGTGAAACACACTCTATATGCTCACCCCACACACACACACACAATGCCCCCAGCCCCAAGGCTGTTCAAAGCCACCTGTCCTCTTCCCCACATCCACAACACCCGCCCCTGGAGTTTCCTCAGTCCCAGGCCTGGCAGGGAGACTGGCCAAATGGAACAAGGCAAGGCAGTACAAAAAGATAACTTTATTTCCAGTTTGAGAATGTATTACAAACAGATTTTTAAAATGCAGTAGAGCAACATGATTGGCTGATAGTGCAGGTACAGATGGAGGGGGCATTTACAGGTGAGTTGGCCTGCCAGGTGAGGACTGCAGGTGCCAAAGGAGGGACTCATAAAAGGTGGGCACAGCCACACCCCGACACTGGGAGACGGGGCACCTCTGCTCTGTGCGAGGGAGCACACAGCCTGGGGTGGCAGTCACCCAAACACAGAACCAGGGTGACCTGCGGGCAGGGCCAGAGCCCTCCAAATGCCAGTGGAGCCCTGGTTTCTCCTACCTGGTCCTGGCTTCCAGCTTCCTGGTCCCAGCAAGGAGGCACAGGGGAACACTACTGGGGGGTCTGCGAGGGACCCTCCAGCAGCCTGAGCCCGGGAACATGGGAAAAACCCACGCGGCACACTCTTGTCAGGCAGCCCACTTCTCAGAGCCCTCCAGGAGCCCTGGAGCAGGCTGGGATGCAGAGGGGGTCAAAGTCACAGACCCCTCCGAGTCATGGAGCCTCCTTAGCGTCAGTTTCCTCCCCGTGGGATGGGACACCGACCCCACCTGTGGGTGCTGCAGGGTGGCATGTAGGGCAGATCACACATAGACTGTGTCCAGTCTATGGGCCGCATACGCAGAGCCGCTGGCTCACAGAACTAGGGAGTCTAGAGCAGCTGTGGTAGATTTGATTTTGGGTAGATTTTGGGTAGGAAGCGTGTCTGCGTACTGCAGAAATGACCACGAATGACAGAGGGTCAGTTATCCAGGAAGAGTGCAGTGGACCAGGCCAAGCGTCACTGTCACTGAGAACTGACCCCAACCATGGATGTCTTCTGCCCCCAGCAGTGCAACACATGGCAGGGGCCCACGGGCACAGCACCCCGTGTCTGATCCACAAGGTGAGGACTACGGGAAAAGCTGATCAGTGGCTCTCCTGACCCCAACCTGCCCAGCCTCCGTCACTGGCACCCACCTAGGGGAGGACAGCCCTGTGGTTGTCATCCTGCCCCTGAGGCCCTTGCCACAGGTCTGGTGGCTTCTCAAAACAGCCCAGAGCACCCCCTCTACAAAGAGGCTAGAGCCCCTCCTCTCCTGTCTGGAGGGGCCGTGGCCAGCCCTTGGCAGCAGTGGCCAGCCTGCTATCTCAGGGAGGGGGCTTTACCTTGAGTCCGCCACAGACTGAACATGACAAAAAGAAAGCTGGAGGTGGCCCTGCATGGGGGCTGCCTGCTTCCCAGGACTCGCCAGGGGATGGACTGGGCAGTGTGGTTTCACTGCCTGGGCCTTCTGTTGCCTGTCCCCGCCGTCGAGCTCCCAGGCAACTGGAGGAGGGTGCCTGACCACCCAAGTCCGTGGCTGAACTGTGGTCAGGGCTGCCCTGAGAGGCTGGGCTTGGGTCTCTGGGGGCCAGGCGCAAGCTTCGAGGTGTGTCATAGTGGTGTCGTAATGAGGTGGGCACCTGGTACTCAGCCACCCCAGGTGGGCAGGTACACAGTTTGGGCTCAGGTGCACTAGCTCCAGCAGGCAGGCTTAGCAGAGAACCAAACTCGTCTCCAGCCCGCCACATGTCCAGGCTGCTGCCCGCATAGGATGAGAAGCTGCCAGAGTAGGAGGAGTGGCTGCCTGTGGCAATGCCACTGTCAGAGGAGCTCTGGCGGCCAACTTCCTGCAACTGTCGAGGCCGCAGTGGCTTGAGGGGTGGCCTTGAGGCTCCCAGCATGGCTTCTCCTGGACCCTGGGCAGCCACCAGGCCTGGCCCTTCCTGTGATGTGCTGGCTGAGGACGAGGACTGTTCTGGCCATGCAGGGAGCCGGCTGCTGGCACTGACGTCTGAGTGGCTGGCCTCGGAAGAGGAACTGGATAGGCTTCGATCATCCCCTAGACAAAGCAGAAACTGAGGCTGCTGGGGGCGTCCGAGCAGGTGAGGGGTGGTCTCCAGTCAGCATGCTATGACAGTTCGCTTCTTCCTAGCCCCTACACCTGGAAGCTGGAGCAGTAGGCCAGGGTCTGTAAGGCAGCCCCTTCCTCATCCAACCCCTGGCCCACTTTCAGTGCTAACTGTTTTAGAGCCCCTATCCCTCCCTCACCCCAGGTGCTTCCTTGGTCCAGCTTCTGGGTCTCTCCATCTGGACTCCACCCCCACTTCTACAGCCCCCTCCGAGGCAGGCACCCACCTACAGACCTCTATTCTGTACATCTATGACCCCGCTCCTGAGCTGTCTCCTCCTCCTCTCCCAACCTAGCCATCACCACTGCCATCCTGGCCGCTCTCTAGCCCAACCAAGACCTGGGGCAACACATCCGCCTTTACCATCCCAGGTGTGCTCACACACCAGCCTGCCCCATCCAGCCTGCCTCCTCTCCTTGTGGGACCGTGAACCTCTGAGGGCAAGAGCCTGCTTGGGATCAAATCCTGTCCACAACCCTCCCATCCTGCCGAGTCTCTTCTTTGCCTCACTCTGTGAGCATGGAAAAGCAAAACATGCCGTCATTGCCTTTCCTCTCAGCCTGCCTAGCTTGCAGGGCTTCCCGAGCAGGTACTAGAGGCTAACCCTCCAAGGAGATAAGAAAACGTATTGCAAGTTTGAGAGTCCCTTCTTCTAAAGGGAAGGGCTGGGAGGGGAGGGGGCCACTGCCCCTCTGTGTGCCCTGGGAGTGGCGAGAGGCACCAGACAGTACTTCTCTGGCCTAGGAAGACCTGGTACAGTCTGCCTGCCAAGCCAGCCTCCATCCCTCACCCATAGCTGCTCCTGGCCAGGCTTCCAGGTTCTTCCATCCATGTTCCCACTGACAGTAGCTGTAGAGAACCATCTGCTCCTAGGAAGCCAGCTCAGTTGGCCCCTGAGTATTTTGTCAGAAAATACACGGTAAAACTAAATTGCAGAAGGTTTGGGCTTTGCCCAGGCCACATAGCTAGCAGGTGGGAAGGAATTCAAACCCAGGTCACACTTCCCATCACAGCTGCTGTTAGCGTGTGATGTGCTTACAGGATAGTGTGTGACTGGATGAAGGGAGAACAGATGGATAAACAGGAGAAAGAAGAAGAATGTAGGAAGGGGTGCAGTGAGGGGCTAAATGGATGGGTGACAAAGGAATGAATAAGTAGAAGGAAGGAAGGATGGATGTGTGGATGGATGGATGGGTGGATGGATGGATGGATGGGTAGATGGATGGATGGATGGGTGGATGGGTGGATGTGTGGATGGGTGAATGGATCGGTGGATGGATGGATGATAGATGGATGGGTGGATGGGTGGATGGATAGATGGAAGGATGGATGGATGGATGAGTGGATGGATAGATGGATGGATGGGTGGATGGATGGATGGATTGATGTGTGGATGGATGGATTGATGGATGGATGGGTGGATGGGTAGATGGATGGATGGGTGGGTGGATGGATGGGTGGGTGGATGGATGGGTGGGTGGGTGGATGGGTGGATGGATGTGTGGGTGGATGGATGGGTGGATGGGTGGATGGATGGGTGGGTGGATGGATGGATGGATGGAAGGATGGGTGGATGGGTGGGTGGATAGATGGATGGATGGATGGATGAATGGATAGATGGAAGGATGGATGGATGGATGGATGGATGGATGGGTGGATGGATAGATGGAAGGATGGATGGATGGATGGATGGATGGATGGATGGATGGATAGATGGAAGGATGGATAGATGTGTGGATGGATGGATTGATGGATGGATGGGTGGATGGGTGGATGGGTGGGTGGATGGATGGATGGATGGATGGACAGATGGATAGATGGATGGGTGGATGGATAGATGGAAGGATGGATGGATAGATGAATGGGTGAGTGGATGGATAGATGGATGGACGGATGGATGGATGGATGGATGGATGGATGGGTGGATGGATGGGTGGATGGATGGATGAGTGGGTGGATAGACGGAAGGAAGGATGGATGGATGGATGGATGGATGGATAGATGGATGGATGGATGGATGGATGGATGGATGGATGGATGGATGGGTGGATGGACGGATGGATGGATGGGTGGACAGGTGAGTGGATGGATGGATAGATGGGTGGGTGGATAGATGGGTGAGTGGATGGACAAGAGAGAGAAGGCATGACTGAGATGTATAGCAGCTACCTGCACAGGTCAAAAGGGTCATGAGTATGCATATATGGAGACTCCAGCAGCCCATGCAGACAGATTGCTGCCCGACCTGGAGTGGTGTGAGCAGGCAAGTACTCAGAGGAAGGTCCCTGCAGCCCAGAAAAAACTAACCACTGACTCTACCTCCACTGCCCGGCCGGCCAGAGTGTGAAAGCAGGCTAAGTCGCTTCTCCAGCTGCAAGGTTTCCAGTGCTTCCTGGGCAACACGCTCCTCTGAGGCTGAGGGCCCTCCAGGGCTCAGGTCTGTGCAGAGAAAAGGATCAGTGAGGCAACAACCATCCCTGCACTCCACCCCTACACTCCACCCCTATACTACCAGGACACCTGGTAAGTCTAAAACCTTCAGAGCCAAGGCATCCTGAGCTAACCCCTAGGAGGCTCAACCCTACCCTGCACCTTGGCCCAGCTGCTGGGTATCAAACACAGGATACCCAAACCAGCCACTCAGGTCCGCTAGATGCCCATTCTAGGTCTCTCTGTGAACAAGCCCCCTTCTGCCCAGCCCATGTTCTTGTCCCTGTGCATACACCCTAGACTGTCCAGCCTAAGTCTGTTCCTGAAGTTGGTTCCCTCTCTGTCCAGCTGTGTATAATCCACAGCTCAGGTCCTTGTCCCTAAGGATAGGCACACATCTGCCCACCCTGGGTTCCTGTCCCTGTAACCCTCTTCCCTGCCCTCACCACGTATGAGCCTCTCCTTGCTGATAATGGCACCCGTAAGGACCACAACTCCCCTGATCTAGATAACCGTACTTCCTCGGACCTAGGGAGCTTTGCCTAGCCTAGCTTACCACACCCACTTCTCAGGAGCTCCACTTTGGTCTGCATAAAATGCCTCCACAGTCCTGCTACTGCCTGCAGATCCCGGGCTGGGTGGGATCTCCTCCTGGCCCCTCATAGCTGCTGTCCCTGAGCCCATTCCACTATGGGTGACAGAGAGCAGGAAGGTTGCTGCCCTGCCCTTCCCAGGCCCCTCCCTTGCTTTCGTTGCTGGGATGCTCATGTGAGGCCCTCCTTGCCCATATCCACACGGCCTATGTGAAGCCCTTGACAATGTCAACATTTGACTGAGAGGCAGCCAGGCTGTGAGCAGTGGCGCCCCGCTCCTCTGGTCCTGCACAGTCACTGCCATGCAGAAAAACTACCATGTAGGGGAGGCCTTCCGAAATACCTTGGAGCACAGGACTTTAATGCCATACCATCCACAGAGTCCTTGTCCCCCCATAACCCCTCCCCACGTGGGTCAATGCTATAGGACTCCACAATTTCCCCAGCTGGATGCTGGCTGTGATTCACACCGTTGGCATGCTGGGGTGATCCAAGACCCCCATATACCTCAGCAGGACACCCAGGGCACGATGCTTGCAGACCCAGGCCCTGGCAGTGGCATTGTTTGAGCACACCCAGATGATCTGATAAGGACAGTTGTGGAGAAGGTATGGGTACCCCACCAGTCAAGCCATCCACCAAGAGTCACCAATGGCCCTATCTAGGGACAGCCCACTCCCTGACTGTGTTGGAGCAAAACTCACTTCCAAGATGAGCCTTTATGCCATTCTCTGCCCAGTGTTGTGTCTAGTACTCCCTGAACCCAGAACCATTTAAAACAAACAGGAGAGTGGGTTCCCCTAAAGCCTAGGTCCTGCTTCCAGGCATACCAACAGCAGCACATACACCAGGGTGAGTTGGGGGATGAATATGCTCCAAGGAATCTCTAAAAATGTGTGTCTCTGGAAGAAAAGCATAGTGTTTCCCCCGACACACATTCTGACACCCACGTGGCTCACTGTCATTTCACATTGTATATCTGCAACTGCAAGATAGAAAAATACCAGCAGGGGGCGCTGCAGGAGGCTCTGCCCATAGGGAAGGCTTCAGGCTATCTCACTAGCTACTGGAGGGAGGCGGGAGCAGATATGGAGGGCCTGGTGCCAGTGAGTGTGGCTCAGCATTTGAAGCTGTGTTCCCTACCCTAATAAGATGGCCATGTAAGGACCCAACAGGTGGGAGCTTTGGCCACATATCCTCATCGGGAATCTTCCACATGAGGCCCCCAACTCGGGACGTGACAGAATCTAGGGAAGTCCATCCTACTCTGGGCTCATCAGTGCCAAGGCCATGAGCCCTTTAGCTCTGGAAGCACATCTGGCCAAGGTGCCCTTGGCCACTGCAAGGACGAGAGGTTTGATAAGAGGTGCATTCACTGGAACCCACCCCAAGTGCATCTCGAAACCCCAGCATAAACCAGATAACCTCAGGTGGCTCCTAGACCAAATGTCAGGCTCAGACACCATGGTCCTGACCCCTAGCAGAGACAGGTCAGCTGTCCACATGCCAGTGACCTAGAGCCAAGCTCTCTGCTTCCTCTCCAGGATCTTGGGCCCCTTACTGTCCAGCCCCTGCAGCTGTGGCTTACCCGGATTAACCACAAGGCCACACAGGCCCTGGTGTCCCAGTGGTCCATGTCCATGGAGGAGGGGCACCTGCTGGAGGGCCAGGCCTGAGACAAGCCAGCCCACCCCCTAGGAGCCCCGGGAGGCATAGTGGCTATAATACTATAGTCTCAGGCCAGTAGGCTCTAGGGTTCTTGGTTGTGGCTGGGAAAGGGCGGGCTACCTCACTAGGTTGATGAAGCAAGTTACCAGGCCCTGGACCACCAAGTGTACCTTCCCTGCCACATTCCCACACACACCTGGGAGAACTGGCCGAAGCCCAAACGGGCCTTTGGTCGGGGAGATGCCTCGGACAATGCAGTCAAACAGAAAGCTGATCTGCTCTCCCTCAGCTGAGGACAAGAAGAAGACTCCAGCCCCTGCGGAGGAAGGATAGAGAGACACGGGGGTCAGCCAGCCCCTCAGGGGTTGGAGAGACACCCAGAGTAGACCTGCAGTTCTACCGGAGCAATCTCCAACCCAAATCCAAATGACCTTATACAACTTCATGAAGCTATGCCCCAGAACCTCAGACCCCTTGTGTCTCTTCTGCTTCCTAGGGAGTCCATAAATGCTTCACACACAAAACCAGCCATGCCTTGGGCACCAGACCTATACCACCACTTCCTGCCTGGAACTGGCCACCTCCTCTACCTGCAATGTCCCTGGGCTGCTCAGTTGAGTGTGTCTCTTTAGCAATGCCTAGGAATGGGTGGGAAAACTTGTGCCAAAATGCCAGCTGGGTGCCCTTTCCAGACAATACCACATGGCCTGAGAACAATGGTCCCACATCTCATGAGGGACCTGTCCTAACTGCTCTATCCAAGACTCTCCTCAAAAGCACTCACCAGCACGCCACATGTACCTCCTTCAGGGAGACATGCAGGCCAGGCTACCCTCTGCCCTCCAGGATCCCTCTAGGCTTCCCAAGGCTCTTCCACAGCCTGTGCCAATGACAAGGGAGGCGCTTCTAGGAGGTTTCCTTGGGTCTCCAGGAGCTCGGGCTGTCACCTCAGTATGGCCATCACTGCCTCAGACCCTCGCCCAGGGCTGTGCCGAGTCACCTATGGATGCTTGTCCCATTGTGGCAGTGTGGTACACCCACACCACAAATGATCAGCTGTCACTCTGACCAGTACAGTGTCCCCCCACACACCGAGTGACTTCTCCTGTTTCTTGAGGTCAAAGGGTAAAGAGGAACCCTTGAGGCAGCACATGTGTCCCAGAGCTGACTCTGACCCTCCTGCCCACTCAGCAGCAGGAAGGAATGCTGTGCAATCAGCCCAGGATCACTTGGGCAGAGGGACCACATAGGTACTCAGAGCCTGTGTGCCCAGAGAGGCCCAGCGTGATGAGTCAGCAGGGAGGGCACCCCGAGGCCATCTGCCATCAGGCATCAAGCTGGCCCTCCTGCTGGGCCATGCCTCCACCAAGGGTGAATGAAATCCCTCCCTGGCTGAGTGAATGAGAGAACAACCAGGCTGGCTGTACCCATCTGCTGAGCCAAGGCCATGGGGCTGGACACTCGGTATGTCACCACACAAGAATCTCTCTCTGCTCCAGGCCTCTGCCATTGCCCATAGAAAGGCAGGTAGGGTGCATGCAGGAGAACTCTGAGGGACAGAAGGCAGGGACAGCTCTAGGACTGGGGAAAGGGGTAAGATGTGAGATGTCCCTTCACTAAAAGTTCTGCAGTTCGGCCTCTAGGTCACATTCTGTCTTTGCTGAGCATGAAGTTGTGGATTCCAGGGACTCAGTCAGTACCAAGACATGCAGACATGGCTGCCCAGTGCACACAGCAATGGCAGCACCTGTAGTCGCTGATGCACCCCTGCATGGCCGCCCAGTGCACACAGCAATGGCAACTCCTGTGACTGCTGCTGCACCCCTGCATGGCCGCCCAGTGCACACAGCAATGGCAGCACCTGGATTGCTGCTGCACCCCTGCATGGCTGCCCAGTGCACACAGCAATGACAGCTCATGTGACTGCTGCTGCACCCCTGCATGGCCGCCCAGTGCACACAGCAATGACAGCACCTGGATTGCTGCTGCACCCCTGCATGGCTGCCCAGTGCACACAGCAATGACAGCTCATGTGACTGCTGCTGCACCCCTGCATGGCCGCCCAGTGCACACAGCAATGACAGCACCTGGATTGCTGCTGCACCCCTGCATGGCCGCCCAGTGCACACAGCAATGACAGCACCTGTGTTCGCTGCTGCACCCCTGCATGGCCGCCCAGTGCACACAGCAATGACAGCACCTGTGTTCGCTGCTGCACCCCTGCATGGCCGCCCAGTGCACACAGCAATGGCAGCACCTGGATTGCTGCTGCACCCCTGCATGGCTGCCCAGTGCACACAGCAATGACAGCTCCTGTGACTGCTGCTGCACCCCTGCATGGCCGCCCAGTGCACACAGCAATGACAGCACCTGTGTTCGCTGCTGCACCCCTGCATGGCTGCCCAGTGCACACAGCAATGGCAGCACCTGTGGTCGCTGCTGCACCCCTGCATGGCCGCCCAGTGCACACAGCAATGGCAGCACCTGTGTTCGCTGCTGCACCCCTGCATGGCTGCCCAGTGCACACAGCAATGACAGCTCCTGTGGTCGCTGCTGCACCCCTGCATGGCTGCCTAGTGCACACAGCAATGACAGCACCTGTGACTGCTGCTGCACCCCTGCATGGCTGCCCAGTGCACACAGCAATGACAGCACCTGTGGTTGCTGAAGCTTCATGTTGTCTTAAACCACATGCTATAGCAATGCCATTCTTGTTTTAGAGACAGGCAAACAGAACCCACAGCAGGCAAGAATGTTCATGATCTCAGGCAAAAGATGGACTCAAGCCTAGGGCAGAGGCCACTGGGACACTGCCCAGCACCACAGTACCGGCCCCACACTGGGAAGCTGTGGACCAGAAGCAAGGTGGGGACGTGGGGTAGAAATGAACAGCTATCCCAGGAGGCCCCTCCAGAGGCTCACTGCCTCAGAAAGGCCCTGGCGGATCTGGTGGATGGGTTCTGCACGCCAGGAACTCTGCTGCCGTGGTTAAGTGAAGTATGCTCATCAGTCTGCTGGCCAGTTCACACAAAGCGTCCTGTCTACCACCCCACCCACCGTACGGCTCAGTCAGGCTGGCCCCAGCTCTCATGGAAGGCCAGGCCTCTAATCCTGAGCTTACAGGCAGCTGGCAGAAGCTGCAGGACAACCAGTCCCCCGACTATAAAAAACCACATTACCGAAGGGAGTGGAGCCGGCCCTGCATTCCACCACGGCGGCGGCGTCTGAGGAGTATCATGCTCCCCCAGGAGATGCAATCAGCCAGACAAGGACCAGGAGTCCAGCAGCTACCAACCTAGGCCCCAAATGCCTACATGGCATCCCTACTAGCCCCCCATCTCACTCTGAAGGACTCCCATCTTAAAGGGCCCAATAACCTGGGCCCTCAGAGTCCAGGGATGAGGCCTCCCTGGGGGCACATTTCTATCTCCTACCCTGTCCCTTCTGTCATTCCTATCTGCCTGAGGCTATCAGAATCACCCAGGGCTCCCTAAACATGCCTGCCCCACCAAGCATGCCTCCACATGGGAGATACCAAGCCTTACTCCTTAACAACGTCCTTTAAGATGTCACCTTTTATTAAGTCGTTCCAAACCCTGACCCCTACCCCCATCTAAGGAAGCCAGGTGTGCACCCTGAGATTGAACACTTCTGCAACAGACCTTGTGATGCTAACTCCGCCTCACATCCCTTGACATGTCTGTCACACCAGACCCCAGACCAAGCACCGTGTGACAGTGGCCCCGGTGACCCCTCAGGACCTGCTGCCAGAGGAGCCACCCTTAGGTAAGAATACTAAGACACCTCTGGGGACTTCTCTGTGTTGCTTATTGGCTTGTATGTTCCAAGAATGGGTAGATCCCAGGTTCCCAATCCATGTGACTGCCCAGCCAGGAGGCTAGACCCCCTTCTCTCGCTACCCCGGGGTCAATCTGAGTCTCTCTGAATAGTATAAAGTAACAAAGGTAAAACTCTACTCTTCCAGTTCTGGGATGAGGCCCCTGAGGGAGCCTGGCACCACCTCTCGTAACCATCCACCACGTAAAAAAGCACAGCTATTCTGCTATCAAAGGAAGTCCCAAGAGGAACTGTGGCCTCCCTACCAAGCATAGGCCCTGCCACCATCCTGGAGTCTATTATTTGAGTGACCCAATCTGAGGCTACCTCACTGAGCCCTGCCCGGAACTCTGACCCAGAAGTATGGGCAGTAGAACGGACACTACACTTGGGGTGTTTACTACATGGCAATGGGTAGTGCAAGGACCCGAAGATGAGGAGCCAAGAGCTCCTGGGATGTACCAGCTTTTTCGCTAGTAGAGAACATTCCTTGACATACACACATGTCAAAATGTCTCAGGCTTGGCCCAGCAGGGACCAGCATCTTCCTGGGCAGAGTGAGGGACATCAGCCAAAGACCGTCAGCTTGTCACTGGGTACCACTGACAGCACCTCCATGGACCCATAGAATGCGCCCAAATGAGGCCACTCCTTCATGACCCCACCCCTCTGCCTGCTTCTCCTCTCTTGCACCCACTTGGGTCCCTGGAGAGCCCTGCCCACCTGCACCAGAACATGGGCCCAGTAGACCCCGACTCTTCTGTCTCTTGAAGATCAAGCTGAGGTCCTGGTCCTCAGGAGGGAGTGAGCAGCCACACTCAGGCTGGGTGTGAGGGGCCCCTTCCAGACCTCAGGAAGGGGAATCCCCAGGCCCAAGATCAGGCACTCTATGTGTACACAGGGTCACCTCAGGAGGGAGATGCATGGTGGGGTTGACAGTTGCTCTCTTGTCCAGATGAGGAAGTCAAGGCATTGGTCTCCATCACAAGTGTTCTGAAGAATTGCAGTCAGTCACACACCAACACTGGCATTCTCAAAGAGTGAGGTTTCTGTCTAGGAACCTAATTTCTCTCATGTAGTAGCCTGAGCTGAAGAATGACGTCTCCATGTACCCCAGGAGGTCGCATGGCCTGTGTCAGAGGTCAGAGGACACTGTGCCTCTCCTCTCTCTAACAGCTTGCAGCAGAACAGCTCCCAGAGGATGCAGATGGTGACCGCTGACAGCTGGCAATGTCTGAATTACCTAGCAGCTGGTCCTGCTCCCTGGCTCCCAGCTCGGTGCCCACTCTGCCCAAGAAGGCCTTTTGTTCCTCAAGAGGAAGAAGGGCTGGCACGTGGCGGATGGAGAGGCCTGGGGTGAGCAGCCAGCCACACCCTGCCTCAGAACAGCTGCACAGAGGAAGAGCAATAGATGAGCTGGGCCATTCCTGCCACTGTCCCCACATGGCCACGAGCACCCATGGCAGCCCAAGCCTCAAGTTTCTCTTCTTCAAAACTGAGTAGGGTAAAAGCCCAAGTGGATGGGGCCCCACGAGCTAGAGAATGTGTGAGCACTTAGAGGTGTCCTGCAGGGCCGCTCTCAAGAAGCCCACCATGGCCAGCCTGGACCTGGTGTGGCAGCAGACACCACATTGGTGGGGCCTGGACTCACTCTGTATGCTGATGTCACTATATAACTACAAAGGGAGAGAGTCCACTCAAATCCAGACCAGCAGAACCTGCAAAGTCAGTAGAGACATGACCACAGGTCTGGAGAATCGTGACAAGCAGCCCCAGGGCCCTGACTCAGTACCAGTCACTGGATGCAGGATCTTCTCTGGAGGCCACAGAAAAGTCCCTACAAATGGCCACATCTCTTGAATGTCATGACACCCTACTGACTCAAAGGGCCTTTGTACCAAATGCCTCCTGTCCAAGACGCTGGCATCACTACCCCTGCTACCCATGAACAAAGCACTGGAAAGGTACTGGGCTCCGCAGAGCCAAGGGTCCTTATTCCTGCCCTGATCCTGCTACCTCCACCTCAGCAAGAGGTCCTCTCTCCCACAGCTGCCATGCAGATGGCGCTCCTGGAAACCACCAGTCACCCTGCTACACTACTGTGCCGCTAAAGCTTCCTGTTGTCATCAGAATCTTCTAGGCCCCTCTGGCCCTTACAGACTGTACTGTAGGGCCTGTTGGGGTCATTCCCAAGTATCCAGCAAACACTGCTGTCATGGCCCAGCCTGGGTCAGCTCTCCAGTCCCTCTGTGTCCCTTTCTCTTGCCTTTCCCCGGGACTCCATGTCTCTGTGAGAACCCATGAGGTTATATTTTGCTTCTGTGTGTCAGAATCATACATGGCTATTACATGACTACTTGCTTCAAACCTATGTTTGCCAAGGAGCTACAACCTGTCTCCAGTGGCCATGATTACAGGTGGAGGGATACTGGGGCCAGAGATGATGCCAAGAAGAAGGGACAGTCCTGAGACGTACTTCCTGGGACCTCTAAGGAGATCCCACAGAAGGAGGGCCAGGATAGGCACAGTACCTGAGAGAGAGTCACCAAGATGATCTGACCCAAACTGGGGAACAGCCTGGCATCTTCCTGCTGTCTGACACTGGATTCTTAGCATTAGAGGATCCTGCCATCCTGGGGACACGGCATGGAATTAGTCCTGAGAAGCCTTGCAGTAGGAGTAGGGACTTCTTGGGTTAATTCCTTCCTCCAGAAACTTCTGGTTGCCCTTAATGTCAGCCTCTCCTGTCCTCCCCCACGGCCTTCCCTTCCTCGTCTTCTCTCCTGGGGTGCCTTTCTGCTGCTTGCCACCGAGCCTGTCACAGAGCAAGTGGCCTCAGCACCACTCATCTCCACCAGGCCCCGGACACCCAGCCAAACTATCAAGTTTGAGTAGATGAAAAGGAACCTTGGGGACACGGTCATCTCTATGCTCTCTGGAGAGCAGGCTGAGTCAGAACCACAGGGCATGTTCTAGAGGGTGCAGGGCCAGGCTGGGGTCTGTCCTCAGGAGAGAAAGGGAATGTTAACTCTTCCAAGGCCTTCTGATAATGCCCTTTAGCCATCTATCCTCCAAGTTAGACATGGGTAAGTCATATGCACCATGACTCAATTTTACAACCATCATGGCTAAACGGTGGCTCCGCTGGGTTGGATGTGAAGACAATGCTGTCTTGGCCAATCCAGTGACAGTTCTCATGAGAGAGACAGAGGAGACACCAGCTGGGACACCAGGAAGCAGTCAGTGAGGAAATCGGAAATAACCCAGAGGCCCTAGGGTATGGGCCTTACATTAGGGACAGTAGACCCCACACTGTGAAGGAGCCAACTTGTGTTGTCTTAACAACCCCATCCTGGTCTGTGGTCAACTCCAGATGCCTGCTGCTCCGTGAGTCACTGGGCTGCAGTTCCTTGCCGGGGTCTGCCCACATGTAGGGCAGATGCATGGCCTCCAGCCACTTCTTCCGCCCTCCTGCCCTGTGTCCCATGTCATGTCAGGCGGTCACGGTTTGGCTGTAGCAATTTCTATGACCAGCTGGAGCAGAGCCAAACTTGTCCCTATTGGAGAACAGAGCTGTAGAGCACCTGTCAGGGACAGAGAAATGGGTTTTCCTAATCAGTCCTTCCGTACTGACCTTCCCAGAGAGAGAGGCATCATTCCAGGAGCCTTGTGGATACACATTCAATCAGGCCATGCTGAGTCTGGCTATGCTATACAGGGGCTAAGCCCAAACTCTTAAATCTCACACCCCAGCGGAGGTCAAGGTTACACTCCTGACAAGGGGAGGATGGGTGGACAGGTTACAGGAGTCTCCACTGTCTGACCTAGGAATTCCACTACTCAAGTACGGGCCTCTGGCAACAGGGGCTTCCTGGCCTTGGCGCAGCACCCGACCATGGTCACCACACAGCTTTTTCCAGCAGCCAGTAACCTGCTATGGGCCAAGTAGGATTCGGTCTAGAGGGAGAGAATTCCCAGCAGAGCCAATGCCAGGGTTATGAAGCAGGACCCAGACTAGCCGGCTCCAAGCACACTGGTTCCAGGCAGATTCCTGAAATTGACAAGCTAATTCAGGACCTTGCTCAGAAGCCTCTGGTCAGCCCTGAATAGCTTACCACAGACGCCGGGAAAACACAACAGCCCAGGTCAGATGCTTGGTTTCACTAGCACTCAGTGCCCAGGATGGTGACAAGCAGAATGGAGCCCACTGGCACCAACAGACCAAGCAGTAAACTCAGAGGGCCCAGAGGAGAATGTACAGCAGGCTCTAATACACTGAAGTCCCCACAAAGCGAACAGGCCTCCATGGAGATGGGGCCCAGACCACCTGAGAGGTCTGCCTGGCACAGAGGGCATGGTGGACAGCACCATGTCTAACCTGTACCTGGGAATCCCACAGACTGAAGAAAGGAGTCTGCCCTGCTCAATTGGTGCGACTTCAGGAACTCCCAAACTGAGAGGTTCCCAGGAGGAAGAGGCCACTGCATGACTGACCAGCCTGTAGTTCCCAGCTATCCAATGACAGAGGGGACCAACTGGCCATCCCACCACCCAACCACAACTGGAATCCCCTACTCTTGAGACCTGACAAGGAAGAAGACTGAACACCACAGCTGGCATGGGAAATGGCTGTGCTTACCACAGCACTGTGATGTCATGCTGCCACCACAGTGCTGTGATGTCATGCTGCCACAGCACTGTGATGTCATGCTGCCTCAGTGCTGTGATGTTATTATACCATAGTGTTGTGATATCATATTGACATAGCACTGTGATGTCATATTGACATAGCACTGTGATGTCGTCATGCTACCACAATGCTATGATGTCATGCTACCTCTTTGTCCTGGGAGGAATGCTGCCTTGCCCCATCTCCTCATGCATCCCTTTGCCAAGCAACGCTGCAGATCACATCTTACCTCCTCAGAGGTCCCCCATGAGACCGCCTCCCACTCAGAAGCCCACTGTCTGCTCCTGGTATCCAACAGAGACTGTGGGGCATGGAGTCCAACTCAGCCCTTGGCAGAGCGTGGGGTCCAGGCAGCCAGTGACCAGCACAACACATATCTACACCATCCCAAAGAGAGGGAGGCGCTACTCTCAGATCCCCATGGATACACATCCAACCATCCATACCGAGCCTGGCTATGTGAGGGGCTGAGCCCAAACTCTTACATCTCACACTCTCCTCACAGCCCGGCCTAGGTCAGGTTACACCCCTGACAGGGGGAGGATGGGTTACAGGAAGTCTCTCCTGCCTGACCTAGGTATTCCACTACTCAAGGTCTGCACCCCAGGACGGCAGGGGCTCCCGAGCCTTAATACAGAAATTAACCACAGTCATGTCAGCCCCATGGGCCAGGTTGCCAAGAGAGTGAGCACCTTGGGCAGTCAGCCCAAATGCGTAGTGCAGTTGGCTAAGAGCAGAGAAGGGCTCTGTCCCCGCAGTGACTGCGAGTCTGTCCTCCACCACCGGGTACACAGCCTTGCTCTTCGATTATGGCATCCACGGGAATCCACTCGTGCATTTACTTTTTGTGGTTGTGCCATTCGACTTGAACAGAAGGAACTCTGACACTGTGACCTCATACACAAGCCACACAGTGACACTTGGCTGCTTCCCAGGATCCCTCAAGCTCCCTCCCATCCCCAGAAACAGCCAAGGTCCAGACTCAGTGCTGAGTGCCATGCCCAGCTTGAGTGGCTGCAGCCCTGTTGCTTGGGGACACAGCCCACAGCCTCCTGTCAGGTCCCCAAGCTAACATGCGTAGGCTAGTCAGCTCAAGTGTCCCCAGTATCTCCCCCACACAGCATACTTACAGTACCCACACCTGGTCCCGCCTTCAAAGATGAATCCGTTTGGCACAGCCCCATAGCGACGGAGATCAGACAGCTTCCACTGCCCCATGACAGCTGGAGGGATGTCTCTGGCCAGGACGAGGATGTCATTGCAGAGGTGGAGAGTTGCTGGACCACTCTCCAGCTTGGTGCCAGGAGCTACCGTCACATGGAACCTATGCACTGAGGGCCAGACGGTGGACAAAAGAGCATTACCAGGAGGTGGCTGAGGCTGGGGTTGGAGGAGCATTCCAGGGCCAGGCTGGTGACGTGCCCTCACAGCCCCTCAATCAAGAATGAATGACAAGTGTTAGGAAGCACTTAGGTGCCAGTGGGCCCCACTTACATCCTGCCCATATTCCAGGGTCTTCCTTAGTCAGAGGCAAGCAAGCCCTCTGAGGGGAAGGGCCACTGCCCAGCTCTCCCCAGCATGTTTAGAGCAGGTCCCACGCACTAAGGCCACTCCTTGGGGAGACCCTTCCCATCAAGGTAGTCAGTGTGGTCCAGTTTCAGAGATGGGAAATCAAAGTTCAGGAGGTATGGAGTCCTGTGTCCAGAGTGGGAGGTCATGATTGGCAGGTCTGCCTGAGACTAACATGGCTCAGAGGCAGCTAGATGCTGACATGGTCCTGTCCACTACTTCAGCTCTGCTCTTTGCCTTGAAAGCATATATAGGCATAGTCATAAGTCAGTGCCTCCACAATCCTAGATCACCCACTTCAGAAGGCAACTCACGCCTGGGAGCCAGCATCAGCCTGTCTGCCTGCAGTGCCTGTGTGCCGGTCCCCTGCCCACTTCATCTCCAGACCCCAGAGCCAGAGGGACCGAGTGATGATGTCACCTGGTCCCCTTCCAAGCTGTGGCCTTGGATCTGTCCTTGGCGAACCCACCCTTGGGACTACAGGGGTCTGTCAAACCACACCAGTTCTCTTTTGACATCTATGGAGAGCCTGGGAAGCTCACCACCTTGTGGGATGACCCCTGCCTTACCTGGATGGGGGAGGGGCTGCCACCAAGGTATGAACCATCACCAGAGAACTCTCTAGAAAGACAAGGGCTTCTGCACTAACCCTGCCTGTCATGTATCTTTGCTGCACTGTCTACACCACAGCTCTAGGACTGTCTGCCAGGCTCCATTTTTCTTGGATGGATAAAAAAAGCAAAGCTTCCATGTCAGCGGCCTAAAACTCAGCCTGTGTGGGCGATGTGTTTTATTTATTCATTCATCATCATCATCATCATCACGTGGTGTGAGTGCATGCGTGTGCATGCGTGTGCATGCGTGTGCGTGCGTGTGCATGTGTGTGCATGCATGATGTGTGTGTGTGCAGATGCACACATGCCACAGTGTGCCTGCGGACATCAGAAGACAATGTTGGGTTGTTGGTTCTCTCCTTCCACCCGGAGCCTCTGAGTTCGATCCCAGTGGCTCCCATTGATCCCTCTGCACAGGTTCTGGGATGACACAGAACATGTGGGACACAAAGGGTAAGGTCAGGGCTACGCTGGTTAGCTAAGGGTCCCAGTTTTAACAGGGCTATTTTAGGGACTTCAAATGGCTATGGCACTGTCCCTTGGCCTGAGCCTCCACCAGCTCCTTCACTTTGAGACATCCGCCCATTTTCATCTTTCTGCAAGATTTCCTGGGCCCATCTCTGCAGCCCACATTGGTGAAGGGCCCTGGGGCCTCACCTCAAACCCTGAACTCATGTCACTTACCTTCGCCCAATGCGTAGCGGATACGGGTGTCCCAGGCACACATGGCCTCATGGCTGTCAAAGCCCAGCATGACAGCCTGGGACAGGCAGATGATGGCCAGAGTGTGGGCCAGGCCCTCATAGGGCAGGGCGGGCTCCAGGCCACAGATGTCCTCCAGGGTGAGGCTGCTGCGCTCCTGCAGACCCTTGGAGCGTTCGCACCTGTCCTTGTAGACCAGCATCAGCAGGCAGTCTGTCCAGACAGGCAGGAGGCCATCAGGGTGCTGCTTGCACTGCTCTCTGCCCCTACCCTTCCCTCCCTAGAAGGCAACAGCACTGCTGGACAGAGACTAGGGTTTGGGGCTGACCCTAAACAAATGATTTACCCAGCTCAGAAGAGCAAGCCCAGCCTGCCCCTGCTCTGGATATGAGGCCTACCAGGCATTCATCCCATCAGGACCCCAGGACCCACTCCGAGCCCCATGCTTCTGGCCCCCTTTGCCCAGCCTGGGTAGTGTGGTGAGTGTGTCTAACCTGGCTACAGCGGAGAGGACTGAGCCCACTCCCAGTGGCATCTTGGAGCTCGATCCCAAGTGTGTTTTCCATCTGCCTTAGAGTTGTCAACGTTGCCACTGCACTGCACCCCAGGGGTGTCACTCCCTGTGTGGCCTCAGGCAAATCTTCCCGGAGAAGCTGGGTAATCTGGTGCAAGCCATGCTCATACCTCACCCACCCCCGCTTCTATAGCCACCATCATCCTTTAGTCAGAAGGTCCCCCAGTCCCCAAGCCTCCACACCAGTAGCACCAGGGCCCCAGGGCGACTACCTGTGAGGAGGGTGTAGGCTTATGGGCCTAACGCAAACACTTCATGGGAGGCAAACACCTAAACACTTTTCATGTGAGGCAGCCCCAAACAGTGTGTGGTGCCCAGTGAATGGATATATTGGGCTACACCAAAGAGAGGATGAAGAACGCCCCACAGGGAACACAGAACAAAGCTATTCCTGCAAACTGCCTCAGCAAACCTATACAACAACCCAAATCCCAACCATGACTCCCAGAGCGTCTATGGTTTTCCTTCCTTCCCTACCCAGATCCTGGGGGCCCCTAGCTTTCCATGAGAGCTACAACGTCTCTTCCTCTGCTACCCAACAGGGTCCTGTAGTGGGCCAGCAGCCAGGCAGCATGTTCACCAGTAAGCACAGCTGTGTGCCACTTAACAAACCAAGGAGGTGAAGGCCAGGAGCTAGTGTCCAGCCTCAGCTGTTCAGCAAGTAGCTACAGACTACATGAGACCTATCTCTATAAGTGGCTATGCCCTATGCTTCCTCCTGCTTGTGGCGCTCAGTTGCTTCTGCAGTGCCATGCCTGTGGAATATTCCTTTACATTCCTTGTGTGAATATATAACACTGTGATTGGTTTAATAAAGAAGCTGATTGGCCTATAGCTAGGCAGGATAAGTTTACGCCAGAGAACCAGACAAAGAGGACTCTGGGAAGTAGAGTTCATGGGAGTTGCAAGGAAGCATGGAGAGAAGCAAGATGAACTTGCCATACTGAAAAGGGTACTGCCACATGGCAGAGCATAAGTAAGAAATATGGGTTAACTCAAAATGTAAGAGCTAGTTAGTAACAAGCCTGAGCTATTGGCCAAGCTTTATAATTAATAATAAGTCCCCGTGTGGTTATTTGGGAACTGGATGGCAGGACAGAAAAGTCTGCCTACACATGTCTGCCTGCTGTCAGCCTCCTCAACAGGTTGTGGTGGCAAAGAACTCTTAGTCCTCTGAAATTGGGGTTACAGTTAAGAGCCTGTCTTGAGTCTTGGGTAAGATGTTAGACTTTGGACTTTTAAACAGTGTTGGGACTGAAAGACAAGGGAGACTTTTGAAGTTGGACTAAATGTATCTTGTATTAAAATATCACGAGTCTGTGGGTGTCAGAGAGTGGAGTGTGGTAGTTTGAATGAGAATGGCCCCCATAGGCCCAGATGTTTTAACACTTGGTCTCCAGTTGGTGTGTTACATTTCAGAGGTGTGGTCTTGCTGGAGAAAATATATCACTGGGGGAATGGGCTTTGAGGTTTCAAAAAACACTGCCATTTTGAGTTAGCCCTCCCTGGTTGCTGTTGTAGATGCAAACATGAGCTCTCAGCTTCTGCTCCAGCAGAATACCCTCGGACTATTATCCCTCTGGAACCATAAGTCCCAAATAAACCCTTCCTTCTGCTAAAACAAACAAGCAAACAGGGCAGAGCTTCCACTTACTGTTTGGGAACCTGTGCATTGTTTATAATCATAAAAAATGGGGAATCGCCGGGCGTTGGTGGCGCACACATTTAATCCCAGCACTCGGGAGGCAGAGGCAGGCAGATCTCTGTGAGTTCAAGGCAGCCTGGTCTACAGAGGGAGTTCTAGGACAGCCTCCAAAACAATACAGAGAAACCCCGTCTCGAAAAACAAACAAACAAAACAAAACTGGGGAATCATTCCCAATGTGGGGGACTTGCAGAAATCCACCTGCCACCTCAGGGATTCTGGCTCAGTTTCTCAGACACAGGTGAGAAGGGCCTGAATGACAACTTCACTGGCACAAAGCAAGAAACTGGGCCCAGAGGGAAGTAAACCCAACAAAGCAACAAAAACAGAACGTTCCCCTCAAAAGTCATCTCCAAACATACCTGAGAAATGGAAACCCAAGGGACATGCTTGGGGGTCCACAAAGAAAATCGTGAGAACAATGGGGGATGAGCATAGACAAGGCCCTATAAGTCCCCAGTGTGGCTGGGGCAGAGGACACCTCTCCCTCCAACTGTCAACTGGTATCCTGATCTGCAGGACTGCAGGACCCCACCTGTACCAATGCCCTGAGGACTGAATGTGGGCAGGCGTAAAGACCCCACATGTAGTGGATGCTTAATTTGTGCTCACACTTTCAGTCTACATGGCTGCCTGCTGAGCTTTGTGAGATGTGGCCAGTGTGTACCATTGACCACATCCACCATGGCCAAATAGCCCTGGCTCCTTTCACCTCGCAGGTCTTAGCAGGCAGGACTCAGAGCTCCAAGCCCTTCCTACCCTGAGATAGTAGCATCTAAGCCAATGTCCTGCTTCGGCTGCTTCCTGATGAGGCTGACCTTGCTACCCACCCAGCAGTCCCACTGGCCACCCTGGTCTGGCCCATACGCCTGCCTGTCCTTCAGGCCTCAGTGCTCAGCCTCCTCCAGTGACCGTCTGCAGGCTACCCTCAGGCTAGAGACCGTGACCATTCATTCCCTCAAATCCCACTCCACCTCTGCAATTCTACCATGCTCCAGCATAGCTGTCAGGATAAGCATCTACGCCCTTGTCTAATTCCTTAAGCTCAAGGTATCTCAACCTCTGCCTGTGCTAGCATAGAAGAGAGTTCAACATTCATCCAGGAACAGTCTGCTGCTTCAGGGACAGCAGATTGTCTCCCGCTTTGTTCAGAAAGCTAATGCTACCAATGATAGGATCAAGAATGGTGTCAATATGCTTTTCTTTATAGTACCAGACAGTAAATACTTTAGCTTTACAGGGATGGGGGTTCCCATCACAACCTCCCAATTCACTAAGCCCACAATGCAGCATGGGAAGGCTCCGGAGGCTTCTGGTGACTCATCAGAAGCAGATTGGGGACTGGGTTTGACTCATCTCCACCCTAGGGTAGAATTTGTCCACAAGAGGTGCTAAGCCTGATATTTGATTGGTTTAAAGAGCCACAAGGAAGGACCCCCTATTTGACCCTGAGACCTTATCCTTAGTGGACTAATGCCACTCTCAATCTGTCTGATCTCTGGGGACACAAGCTCTTAACCTGTGCCTCAGGACACTGAGAGTCGGTGAGTCCCTTACTTCATCTACGGGCCTGAAGGCCATCTCCAGTCTAGGGGCCATGGGGGACATCAGGGAGAAGACAAACTGCAGATTGGGAGACAAGCTCCTCAATTATCCTGGGGACAGTGACACATCCTCAGATGAGACAGCAGATGAAGCATGAGAAAGGCCACATGGACACAGGCAGCAGGGAGCCATCAGATCTTAAGAACATCCAGAGCCACTAGGAGCAAAACAAGGCAGTGAACATCTGGCCCTGCCATGGCTTAATCTCACTCTTCTGTCCCCCAGAGGAATGGCCATCTGATTCTGGAAGCCAGTTTATGGTGCTCGGGTTTCCTAGCTGCAATTTCAGGAGGCTAACACCGGCTTTAAGACAGTGTCTGCATTTTCAACAGAAATAGGACAGGGTGACAATCAATGTTGCAGGAGGGGCTCCTGAACTGGCTGGAGAAGTCACAGCCACCACCAGAGTCCAGCCTCTGGCAGTGACTCCATGAGCCTGCGCGTGGAGGCAAATGGACAGGTAGCTGAAAAGGACTCCCTTGAGGCAGGCCTGAGTGCACACCAACTGCTCCAGATGCCCCCACCCCTACCCGCTATCCCTATTCTGTCACCCTGTCACTGGACCAATGGAAAGAGACACTGGGACATAACCAGCCAACAGCTAACTACCAGCACAGTACTGTGTGGAGAACAGGTAACATGATGGTGGGCAGGGTCCTCCTGAGCATGTGGGGGGAACCCCTCAGGGATGAGCAACTAAATGAACCCTCAAAAACCCAGCTTAGGCCAGGCGGTGGTGGCGCACGCCTTTAATCCCAGCACTCGGGAGGCAGAGGCAGGAGGATCTCTGTGAGTTCGAGGCCGGGCTGGACAGACAGCCTCCAAAACAATACAGAGAAACCCTGTCTCATAAAAACAAACAAACAAACAAACAAACAAACAAAAAAGAACCCAGCTTAGCAGCCCCGCAGGGAACGGTCAGGACGAAAGCCCAGAAGTTTCTAGAGAGACTTGAAGGACTGAGAGGGTAAGAAGACCAAGTCACAGGCAGGTGAGCCAGGAAGGCTCGGTGTCCAGAAGCTAGCTCTAAGAGTGCTGAGCTGAGCACAGAAGGCTGGCCCAGCCTTGGCCACTCTTGTCCCATGAAGGGACACCTCCAGCCTCCCCTCCAGCTCTCTGTGTCGGCGTCCCCAGCCCTCCAGGCAGGAACCACGGGACTGTCTCTAGGTCGGCAGGAGGACACTGAAGACCAAAGGATGGCTCCTGGGATGCAGCAGCAAGAGGATGCCTGGGGAGGGCTTTCGGGGACACAGCTGGGACCAGGGTCTTTCCTAGACAGATGAGGCTAAGAAGCCCATTGGATGTTGACTGGCCATGTGGACAGGCAGTTGGAAGGCATCTAAAGATGTAAAAATAACCATGAAGTTGTCATGAGCTCACGGAGGCCTTCACAGCCAGGGCTCAGGGCCATGCAGAGGGCAGGAGGGACAGGCAAAGATGAAGCCTCTGGGTGCAGGGACACACCACAGGGAAGACAACTGTCAGGCCCGGAGGCTACAAGAGACAGGGAAGGTGGAGCTCAAGGATGTAGAAGAGAGTGGCAGTGCTGTGAGGTGACGGTCACAGTGACCTTGAGACAGTGCCCTCAGAAGAGCTGTGGGCAGGAGCAAGCAGCAATCTGGGGTCATCCTGAACCTGGGGACACATGGGGACAAGATGGAGTGTGAGGCTCCAGGTCTGAAGTTTATATTAGGAAAGACACTGTGTCCACTGTGCCACACAGGTGAGGGAGACTCAGATAAGAGTCTTGGAGCCTCACAGACATGGTGTCCCCAAGAGTGTGCACACCATGGCACGTCTGGGGCTCAGCGCCGAGGCCCAGGCCCACCTTCTGTCCTCCCCAGCCTCCCTCCAGGCAGCTGTAGGAGCTGAGTACCCAAGCAGAGATCAGCCTAGACTGCCCAGCTAAGGATAATGATACTTAGGGAATATGTGGCTTTCTGGGTCACATAGTGCAAGAGCTGAATCAAGTCTGAACCCACGTATTTGATTCCCTGTGATGTTCCCATGGAGAGGGATGTCTGGCTGCTATCCTGCCCTGTCATTGGCCTTGGGCTGAGGTGTCACTCCATCCCCCTGGGAAGGAGGCAGAGGTCTAGATAACCCAAGGCCAGAGGTGCCAACTCAGGGAGGGATTGGGTCAACACCCATGGGATCTCAGGCTTACTGAAACACATCAGCCATTATCAAAGCTACCAAGTGCAAGGTGAGGCTTTCCTGACAGAGTACTGGCTGACATGGGACTCCATCTTCAAGGCTCCCTGTCCCTATGTGAGTTTGAGGCCTCTGCTGTCACCATGAGCATGTGGGTGGGATGTTCTCCTGTAGGTAGAGTTCTTTGAACCTCTCTGGGACAGTCATACCCTGGCTGCCTAAGGATGGTGCTGAGCTTTCAGGAATGGAACAAGACCCTGGAGAGAGATGGGGCATGAAACCTCCCCCACCCATGTCTGGACCTTGGCTTCTCTGCCAGGTCCAGGACTTAGGTCCCTCCTGGTGACTTTCCCAAGCTGATAGGCACCCTCTGAGGATGCTGTCCTGCTGCCTATAAGCACTACTGGAGACCCTCCATGGGCTGTCTGGAGCACACCATCAGGAGACCGTACCACCGAGAAAGAAGAGAGGCTCAGACCCAAAGTTCCGGTCTCAGTGAGCAGCCGGTCACGACTGGACCCAGAGCACCCCTCTCCTGAAGGCCCTGTCCAGTGGGGAACCCAGATGCATGCCCTTCACCAGGCACAGTCCCACTCTACGACAACTCTGAGACAGGCCTGGTGAAAAGAACTTCCTAGCAGCTGGGAGCACCGTGGCTGTGCTGGTGGCAACGACTTGTTATTCTTTTGCCTAGCCACTTTCATCCACGAGCTCCTACCAGAGACCTAGTACTGTGGAACGCACTTCTGTTTCCCCTTTTCTGCCTGCCGAACCCTTCCTACAGGACAGCTGCCAGTGCTGGCAGTATACAGAGGCGTGAGAGCATGCTGACAAAGTCTTTGCTCCCCAACCTCCTGGTCCCTCCCAACTACCTCCCATGATGGAAGTCACAGTTTTAAAGTCAAGGATCCCTTGATTTCTTAGGAGATGAAGACATGGCCTTCCTCTCCCTTCCAAACCATATCAACAGAGTCCAGACCACAGGCCCTCAAGGACATCTAAAGGGAGGGTACGGGCATCTCCAGTGGGACAAGACAGGGAGACGAGGAGAAAGCCACAATGGGGTGGCGATTAGGAAGAGGTCATTAAACACCCAAGAGGCGATGGGAGAGCAAGCAGGCTCAGGATGGACAGGATGGCAGGGCCACACCCTCCACTCTTGGTCACCCTCCAGTCACCTCCCACCCCTAACAAATTCCAGCCCAACTTCAGAGCCTCCTCTGGGGACAGTTTGTAATCCAGGTTCCTTTGCCTCTGGCCTGCTAACTGCCTGGCACAGGAAGCTCTTGGATCCCAACAGTCAATGAGACATCTCAGATGCTCTTTGAGGGAGCATCTATCCCAGGAGCCTTCCCTACGACCCCTCACCAGCTAGTCTAGTGCTGCACATGGGTCAGTCCATAACGGTCCCACTCTGGCCACGGCTCATCAAAGCCTGGTAAACTCCCCGTGGCCTTTACCTCTCTACAGATCCACACTCCCAATTCTGGCAATGTACAGAGAGCCCCATCCTCTACCCAGTCTCCAGTCTCCAATCTTCCTCTCCCAGACACCCTGGAATCCCAAGGATAAGGGCCCCAAGGCCCTGAGCCACAGAGGGTCTGGGCTTAAAGGATTCAATGAAGACACCAACAGTCTGTGCAGCAAGGGCCCTGGTACTTGCGGAGCCAGCTGAGACCAAGGCAAAAGGAGACTGACCACTAAAGCAGTTAGTGCATCGTGCTACCCGGCCCGGGAGCTGACAGACACCCAGCATCCTGGAAGTCACTCAGGCTGCCTGCACATGTGTGGGACTGCCACACACACACACACACAACCCCACCCAACTTCCCCTACAGACCCCTGGGTGCCTGGGCCAGCTCCAAGGCACCTGTCTCCTGAAACAGCTGCAGTTTCAGGCTGGCGCTGCCGAACTGCCCGGGCTCCTTGCTGGCCCTCCCCATACAGAGCCCACAGACCCTGGTACCAGTCTCTCTTCCCAGAAGTCTATCTCCCCCATACAAAGTACATGTCACTTTTCTGGGACACAAAAGTAGGACTCTTTCTACTCTTGCCCTACCTGAGAGGGTGGGATTGGGGAAGGGTGGCACTGCCTGGAATACAGCTTGGGAACTCATGATGCAAACATTTTCACCAGGACACCTATGCCCCCATGGCACATTCTGGGTTCTGTCTGGTGCTCCATGGGGAGGCTGCAGCCCCTCTGAGTCTCTGCTGGTCCAGGAAAGGGGTTGGCCCACCTAGGAACTGGGACCCTGCAACTCCATATTCGGGACTAGATTGGGCTGTTTTGCGGGTGGCCAGGTCCCAGGGTCCCGGCGCCGGAATGGCTGAGACTCTCCGGTTACCGCCTCGGGGCCGGGTTTCAGCGGCTCCCCCCGTGGCTATTTCGGGCGAGCTGGCAACTCGGCCACACGCAGCGGGGCCCACAGGGTCCCGCCGGCTCGCTGCGACCCGCCGCCCGCCGCCCCGCCCGCGGCCCGGCAGCTCACCTGCCACCGGCGATGGCTTGCGTAGCACCAGCCACCTACTCTTCCACTGCGGAGACAGGACAGCATGAGAGGCCGCCCGCGCGCGCCCTCCCCGCGCCCCGGCCCCCACCTGCGCGCGCCCCCGCCCTGCGCCCCCGCGGCGCCCCAACCTTCTTGCCGTCCCGCAGCTTGACCTGGCCCTCCACCAGCGCTGCCTCGGTCATCTTCTGTCATGGTTCCCGCCGCCCGCCGCGCCCTCTCCACGAGCCCCGGGCGCCCGAGCCCAGGGTCACTTTCAAAATAGCTCCGGGAGGGCCCAGGGCTGCGCCAGGAGGGCGGGCCCGACGCGGCGGGCGGGGCGCAGCGACGACATGGGGACCTGGGTGCAGGGGAGACTGGGCGGGGCGCCCCGAGGCCACAATCTTTAAGACCCTGGCAAAGTGCAAGCCAATAGGTGGCAGTGGGCTTGGGCAGCCTCTGCACTCAGTTGGCTGCCAGCTGGCACTACTCCTGCCAGGCCTTCGACTTCTACCTAAGACCACCTGAAGCAGTCTCTCAGGGAAAGAAATGCAGCCTGGGGCAGGGGGGAGGGAGGCTGGGAGAAGAAATTGGGACAGTGGCAGTTTCCCAAAGAGAAGGTAACTGTCCCAAGACAAACCCACAGAAGCCTTTGTGGCCATGTGCCTGTTCAGTCTCTGTTGTAGTTTGGCTTCAATGGCTTCATCCTTTACACCTGCCCTTCCCCCACCTCATGGAGCCTCGAGGCACCCCTGATGAGGGACCAACCTAGCACAGCCCCGCCCGAGGACATTCTCGTCCCTAGGCCTTCCCCACCCCCAGATAGAGGAGGTGAGTGTATCCACTCTTTAGGTCTTGTTCCCTCCTATTCAACTGAGTATCTGGCAGAACAGACAGGTGGCCGCCAGGGCCGGGGGGGGGACCACTGTGTCACCTCATTGCCCCATGTCTCCCTGGCTTGTCTCTCCCCTCTCTGAGAGCCAGCTTGCACCATCCTTGCAGCACCTGGGGCCTAGGTGACTATGCTGCATGACAACAGCCCTGCCTAGTAGCCCCCTGCCCAGCAAACTGACCTCTGAGCCTCTGGATTTCTCTTCCCCAGACAGTTGCGCAGGCTAGGGTCGATTAAGGTTTCTATGAGCTTTCTATGGCCACCCCAAGTGACCATGGAGGCTAAGTGCTTTGTCAGGCCTATGTCATAGACTCCCCAGATATACGATCACCTTAAGACGCCACGAGACAGAGAACAGCCACAGTTGGGAATTGACTGCATCCAACAAGATCATCTCAGACAAGCAATGAAGCCCTGTGCATCTGCCCATTCCGGTCCCCAGCCCCAAGGAGCTCTGGGCCAGGTGGAGAGGGGTTAAGGGCCAAACTGTATCCACTCGTACAATGTGTGCTAGTCTTCACTCCATCCTGCACAGACTCCCCAGGCTGCTTCCTGTCTGCTCCATCCAGAGAAGCTGAGGGTCAGAGCGGTGTGAGGAGTCATGGTCAGGACTGACCCAAATACACTGACTCCCAGAGCAGTAGTCAGCCTGGGAGCCCTTGGCACAGCCCCTCCAGGGAATCTGGAGAACAAACCTTAAGTGAACCATCAGGCTGATTTTAATGTTTTCCTGGTGTCTTGCTGGGGCCTGATGCAGGGAGGGGGGTACCTGGTCTAGGAAGGAACTCTGTACACCCCCACCCTCCATCACCTGTGCCACACACCAGTGCCTTCCGCAGAACAGTTGCTGGCCAAAGAGCCCCATTCATACTCCCCACACATCGAAGGCCCCTGGGGACTGGCTCAGGACAGCCGGCGTGGAGTCAATTGGGGGTTGTAGCCATGGCCACATCCTCCAGCCCAGAAGCTTGGCACTTGCTTTTCCCTGCAGGGAGGGGCCACATCCTGCTGCATTCCAAGCGCTGGCTGTGGCCCAAACTCCAGCCACGCCTGGCAGCTGCACCTGCTCCCGCACTGGCCCCGGAAATGAGGGCGCCATGGGAATAGACTGCTTCCTTCCCCCACTCCACACGACCCAGAGGGCAGCACTGTGGTCACCAAGAACTATCTGCCCAGGAGAAGACGAGGTGATCTGGCCAAGAATTCTGTGACCTTGGCCCTCTCTGTGCCTCAGTTTCCCCAGATGCTACAACCGGAGTTGCTGGAGCTCTACATGATGAAGCTGTCTCTGGCCACTGAAACAGCTGACCAGAAGTCTCTTGAAGAACCATGGTGACAGCTGGAAGGAGTGGGGTGACAGGAAGGCACAGTCACATGTGACACAGGATGACACTCAACCCCACACCCCTGTCTGGCATTACTACACACTGGACCCCACAGGGCTTTAAGGAAGCTTACAGCTGTGGGCACAGCTGCACCCCTGTCTGAGCTCACAGCCACGGTGCTGCTGGTAGAGACTGTGGCCAGCCAAACTGCCACTACCACACCCCATGACCTTGGGACGCCACTGTCTCACCAGTGGCTCTGCAGCCAGACCTCTGAGGTACTGTACTTGCCACTTACCAGGCAAGGGCGCGCATCAGCGTGTGCGTGTGGCCTGAGCTTCCTATGGCAACCTGGGTTTGTTACTGTTGCCGGGGTGACTGCATATGCAAGAGGCTCTCTAATGATCAGTTTACACACGCCGGGGAGGGTGGGGCCAGGTGGCCTGCCTGACTTGGTTTCTCTACGTGACTGGAAATGCTGGGCCGGCACACTCCAGGAGGCTATGGCACGCACCAAACCCATGTCCACCAGTTCCCAGCCCCATTATCCCCCCACTGGTGAACAGTACCGATGACCCTAAGCAGTAGAAAGTGGAGCCCAGTCATTAGATGCTCTATGACATCATACAAACATTTGTCACTAGTCACATGGTGAGGGGACGTGCATTATGGCCTGGGCATCCCCCCACCCCAGCTCCTCAGCCATTTGCTGACATTCTCATCCCCACGTGGCCATGCAGATATGAAGCCCATAAGGGTATTTAAGGTAAATGAAGTCATACACAGGACCCTAATCTGATAGGACAGGTGTCCCTATAAAATGACATAGAGATCCCCGAGAGTACTTTCTCCTTTGCACACAGAAGGGCCCAGCAGAAAGGCAGCTGTCTATAAGCTGGAAGGACTTGGGAGCTGAGCTTGGCAGCTGCTTGATCATGGAGGGAGCTCTTACATGGCCAAGCAAGTTGTTTAAGGAAATAGGCTCATTTAGTGTGCTACAAGGAAAACAGGCATGGCAGGGGCGGAAGAGGAGGAGCTGCCTGCTTAGTCTGTTGTCTACGCTGCTCTGTCAGGGCAACTGCTACGCTTTAGACCTGGAGTGGTCCCAGGGCCCACATGTTAAAGCCTTGGTCTGAGCTCCTATTGCTATTAAAGGGAAGCAGTGGAGCCTTTAACAGGAGGAGCCCGAGAAGGGTCTTCAAGCCTGGAAGGGCACACCATGAAGGCACCAACAGGAAACCCTTTCTCTTTAGTGTCTCAGCCTTCAAGAGTGGATTGCTTTGCTACATATATCTGCTGCAGGCTCAAAGGAAACCTGGCCAATTGTGGACTTAAAAACTCCAAAACTGTGAGCCCAAGAACCTCTCTCTATAAGCTGATAGTTCAGATTGTTAATGACAGCTGTTGAGACAACTAATGCTGGAGGTTTGAACGTGCTCCCCTGTGATCATCCTTTAGAAATGCAATACTCGAATTCCTAAGTTAATAGCATTTGGAGGTGGGGTGGGGTGCTAATTAGGATTAGTGTGACCACGGGAATGGGACTCCTTGGAGTTAGTGGCTTTACAAGAAGAGAATGAGCTCTAGCTCACCCTGCAGGGGCCTACACCACATTGCACTGCAGCAGAAGGCCTCAGCGGCACCCAGCAGATGCCAGAGCCACCATCTTGGACTTCCAAACTCCAGAACCAAATGAGCCACTTCATAAATTATCCAGTCTCAGGTATTCCATTACAATAGCACAAAATGACCTAAGACATCTGCAAACAATCCCTTCCTTACATTTATACCCCTTAAAATGTGGCTATGCACCCCCACACACACACACACTAAGAGATGGACATCTTCTCCACCCTCTAAATCTGGCTTACTTTGACTGGCAATAAAAGTGAGATTTAGACAAATTTGCTCCTGGTTTCTTCAGCTCTTAGCCGTCATGGGGCTCATCTTCACGGTTAACTGGATTTGGAATCACCTAGGAGACACACCTCTGACCATGTCTGTGAGTTCATTTCCAAAGAAATTCAGCTGAGGAAGGCCGCTGTGACAGCTATTCTTGGTTGTCAACTTCACTACCTCTGGGATTAACTGGAATCCAGAAATAGAGGGTATGCCTGTGAGGGACTTTTTTTTCTTGGTTTTAAGTGGGTGGACTCACTTCTAGTCTGGGTCTACAGGCTGGAAGATTCATCTCTAACCAGGGCCACACCTTCTGCTGGAAGCCTAAGGACATGGAAGACAGAAGCTCTGGCTCTTTGCCTGCTTGCCCTGGCCTTGCCAGCAAGTCCGCTTCTTTGCTGCCATTAGAGCCTATTTCTTTGGGATTCCAGCATAAACTAAGACCAGCTGAGACATCCAGCCTGGCAGACTGAACAATTACTGGACTCTTGGATTTTCTGTTCACAGCCAGCCATTGTTGGATTAGCTGGACTGCAACCTGTAAGTAATTCAATAAATCCCCTGTGTGTGGGGGGGGTCAGGGAGATTCAGTCTATAAGTTCTGCTATTCTAGAGAACCCTGGCCAATATAATCACCCTGAATGTGGGCAGCATCATTCCATGGGCTAAGGACAAAAGAGGGGCTGAAAAGATGGTTCAGCAGTTAAGAGCATGGGCTGCTCTAACAGAGAATCCAGATTCAATTTCCAGCACCCACATGGTAGCCAACAAACATCTGCAACTCCAGTTGCAGGGGATCCAATGCCCTCTTCTTGCTTTCCTAGGTGCCAGGCATGCACATAGTGTACAGACATGCATGCAGGAAAGCACTCATCACATAAAAACGAAAATAAAATAATTTTTAAAAGAATAAGATGCACCGAGTGCCATCATTCTCTCTCTGCCTCCTGACTGTGGACACAGAGCAACCAGCGCCCACTGCCACGCCTCCCCGCCGCCATGGACTGCACAGGAAAGAACTGTGAGCCAGAGAGCATCCTCCATTCTTTTCTTTGTTTACTTCTTCCACTTTCTTGTCATAGCTACAAGAAAATGATACAGTTCACTTAAAGTCTAAATTTTGGAGGATGCAGGCTTCAGAATAAAGAATATCCCCCAACTAGTCCTAGGACTGTTTAAAACTGCAAATCAGAGATACCACCCTAAAGGAAATTCCAGCCCAAGTACGATTACAGATGCATTCTACCAGCTTCCAGAAAGCAGATCATCCCAAATCAAGTCTAGAATCTCAGAGAATTTTGAAGAAAGAAGGAATGCTCTAGAACTTATTATGTGAGTCCATAAAACAGTAAAAACAACAGAAGCAGGATGTGCCTGCCACATCCCAATGGGTTGGTCCCCTGGTAGGACAAATCCAAGATGTGGTCAAGATGAGGGGACCAGGGATGGCTTGGCAGCCCTGGATGACTATGGAAGGGTGCTGGTCCATACACGTGAACTATTCTCCTTGGTTTACAGGTCATTTTCTCCCCAGATACAAATACACTCACCAATCTGTGAGTATCTGTGCCCTAACCTTCTCTTCCTGTGCTGACTCCAGTCATGCTGGGCTATGGCCCATCCTAATTGTCACCCAGGAAAACCTAAATCAGCTCACCAGCTCCACTGGCTCTTAGTTGATTTAAAGGTCACACAGATGGGGACTTGCTGTCCCTATGCTTCCACAGAGCAACCTGGAACAGAAGACCAATGTCTTCTGGCCACTGGCCACTAGGCTTCTGTCTCCTAGGTAGATCATACCCATCTGTCTGACTACACCATCCAGATTTCTGGATACAGTTCTAAACTATCCAGGACCCAGAGCTGAGGGCCTGGCTGAGCCTGGGTCCTTCTCACAGATGCACTGGGAGCAGGCCCTGCTGGACCAGTTCCCTCCGTCTCATAGGGTGTCATGAGAATGGGATGAGGGCCATCCACAGAGAACCTCCTGGTACTTCAGGTAGCAATAGAAGGACTTGTGGGTGTGTGGTGATCCCACAGGCTGAGCACTTGAGGACTTCTGGGTGAGTTGGGGCAAAAGCATCACCCAGACTGAACAGACTCTAGATGGGGCGTGGCTGCCACAGGAACAATAGACCACAGTTGCAAATCTGCAGAGTGAGCAAGAGCCTCAGGTCACCCAGGGAGGACAGACGTAGGAAACCTGGGCCCAGCTAGAGACACAGAACAGCTGGCCTCTGACCCATCCTAACCTGTTTCCCTTACCTGCCCCAACCTGCTTTATAGTACCCCTGTGCCCTTCCCCAACCAGTAATGAATTTTCATGCCAGAGACTCTGAGGAGCCGTGAGACATACCCAGCTCATCCCACAGCCTGTGGGCTGAGGGAGTCTGTCCCCAGCTCTCCCACCATACTGCCCACTCTTTCTGGCCCCAGAGAAAGAATAAGCTAGCTCCATGTCCTGCCTGGATGGGGGTCAGCCTGGCTCCTATGTGTTTAGCACGAGCAGTAGCCAATTATTCTAATCCAGATGCGGGCCCTGCTCCTCTGGTCTCCTTTAGAGCTGCCACAGATAATGGGAAACTGTTGGCAGGCTGCCATCTTGAAGCTAGGCGTACATCCTTGTTCATGACCTGAGGAACTGGACTTGGCTTCGGTGTCCTGCCTTAGATGCTTAGGGTGCCTGGGCCCGGCCTGGGATAGGGCCTAGAGGAGTCTGACTTTGCTGGCACCCTCGGGCCATCTTTATGAGATGGAAGACCCCTGTCCACCCACAGGAACTACACTGGCTTCAGGCCCCACCACTGAAGCCACACCATCTACACTGAAGGCCCAAGCCATGGCTTGGGGAATCTTCACAAAAAGAGCTGCCCAGCTGGAGGCAGTGCCCTTGTGAAGCCAGATCCTTGCAAACGTTTTTATTGTTGGTAGTAGACAGGGACCCTCGAGTAGTCCGCCCCTCCCACCCATTGCAGGGGGGGGGTCTCAGGAGGCAGCTGCTGGCCGCTTGGGTGGTCGAATTCGGTCATTGATCCAGTCCACATAATTGGATACACGAGTGTAGACTCCTGGCTTGTTGAGTCGCCCACAGCCATCACCCCAGCTGATGATGCCATACAGGTAAGCCACACCATTCTTCTCACAGGCCAAGGGCCCACCTGAGTCCCCCTGGAACAGAAACTTGGCTCAGCCACACACGCACCAGCAGCCAGGAGCCCGATTCAGGAGCTCATGGACTTCCAACCCTGCAAATGTCCTGAAGTAATAGGAGTCTCCACTGTTCCCTAAAGACAGGATTTTCAAGACTGAATGCCTGAGGACAGGTGACAGGCATTTCTGAGAAGTGTGGCCTCTCTTCCTGACCCCAATCACTCAGGAAGTCATCTCATTCTCGAACTTTCAGAAAAACATTCTCACCTCCACACCCCATAGCCCCGATCCTACCTCATGAGGAACACATGGAAACTCTGTGGTCCCAACATGCCAGTACCACCACTACCGGAAATGCCTCCTCACAGCCTGGCACACTTCTCTACATCTCTTAGACCATGTGAAACAGCCCCTCCCCCAGGAAGCCCTCCCCAATGACCCCAGAATCAAGCCACACCCACTCTAACACTTCTCGGAAAAAGGGTTTGACCTGTCTGGGGCTCAGTTTCCCTACCTGCTTAAAAGGCACAAAGCAGCCCCTTCATGTTGAAGCAGGCTGACATATAACCATGACCACGGCGTGGTCTATAAAGCCCTTGACAGACGTTAGTTATTGATTGACTGATTGATTGCTGAGGACACAAGAGGAATTTGGGCAGAGAACTGTAGCCTTTGAGGCCTGATGTTGCACGGATAGCCCTGGACAGCGGGGCTCTATCTGGACAGCGTGTGATGCTGGGCCTGTCTTTAGTTTTCCATCTGTTTAGATGGTTCTCCTCCTATTGCAAGGATGCTCTTAAGGAGGCGCCAATTGGTTCACAGTGGGAGAACTTTCTGTCTTAGGCCCTTGAGCTCCTTAGGGGCCAGGAAATTCCCCTGTGGGCCAGTGAGACCCCCATCGGTGTGGTCCTGGTGGGGGCCTGGCAGTAGCCTACCTGGCAGGCATCAGACTTGCAATCGAAGTAGCCAGCACAGAGCATGTTGGGGCTGATGTCGGCACCGTACACTTCGGGGCTGCTGCACTTGTGGTCAGCAACAAGGGGGACCAGTGCTTCCCGCAGGGAGCTGGAGTAGTCACTTGCATCTGTGGAGTACTGCAGTTTCAGGGCAGGCAGGATCATCATGCTGCCTTGCCCCCTACCCGGGAGGCACTGGGGACAGCCCCCACTCACTCTCGTCCATGTGGCCCCAGCCAGCAATCTGACACTTGTGTCCCACAGGGAAGGAGCTGCCTGCTTCAGGCAGGCAGATGGGCTGAACAAACTGGGAGCGGACTGCACAGCGGTCCCCCTTCTTCTTCAGCCGAATCAGGACTGGACAGGAGAGAGGGCAGAGGTCAGCCCGGACAGTGAAGCCCACACTAGACAGAGACACCCGGCAGGCAGTCCCAGGAAGTGGGCCGGTGGCCTAAGAGACCAAAGAGGAAGGACACCAAGATCCCTCCAGCAACTCTGACCTCTGACCTCTGACTTCTGTTTGCCCTTGTGCTTGCCTGGCTCCTACCTTGGTCTGAACTCTGGTTTGGGGTACACAAACCACACCCCCACCCTGAAGAGGCCCTGAGCTCACCAAGGTCATGGTCGTTGGGGTTGAACACCGAATACAGGGAGTAGGGCACGTACTTCTCAATGCCAAATGTCTGCGTCACGTCCGTTGTGCGGTTGAAGAAGTGCTGACCCAGGACCACTGTGACGCTGTCCCTGGGGGGACTGCACAGGAAGTAGGCAGGAATGGCCACCCAGCCCTCTCCTCCACACTACCATGTGTCCCCAACCTTGGTCCTATACTTGTTGGTCATGGCCAAGCAGGAGAGTCACAGCCCTGGGACAGTTCTGCACAGACGTTTTCAACGCATGTGACAGCAAGGTCAGGCCCAACAAGGATGGCCGGACCACAATGATCCTGGCTCAGGAGCTCTATCTTCAAGGACAACTTCATTCATGAGGTGAAGTCTGCTCTGAGGATGGGCCACATGGGTGGAGGTTTGATCTGCCTAGGGGCCCCGCCCCAGCCTAGCCTGGCCTGTAGGGCCCCGGGGGCAACTGCTTTGCCCCCATGAGGAACTGCTGGCGCTTTTCTCTTCGGTCCAGTTAACCCTGGTGTGTCAGGGCTGCAGTCTTTCTGGGTGGAGACACGAGCGAACCTCGGGCCCTCACTCCTGGGAGCCGATTCAGTGGACTGGACCTCAGTTTCCCTAGCTGTGCAGTGACCCTGGAGGTTCTACTACACACTGTAATGGAGCACCCTGATTCTCTGCCTGGGCGAATGCCCCTCAAACACCTAGACCTAGGCACAGGGTGGTACATGGGACATGCCCCAACTCTGGCACCTTCTCCATCCCCACCCCACTACTGTGCTCTTGGAGAGGCAGGGTCTATGCAGATGTCAGGACCACGCCCGCCACTCCTCCTACACAGGTGTGTGTACAAGGCAGCTACGGGAGATGCCCCACCCTCGTGTTCCATGACTACCTCAGTGCCCAGCACAAGCATCAGGCCACAGTGTGACCAAAGACGTGTTAGGGGAACAGAAGAAATGGTCAATGGAGGGAGGGATGGGAGTGTGCCGAGGCTGGGTGGGAGCGTGTGGCATGGGTAGGGACATGGGATAGACAGAGGAGGGACGTGGCATGTGGGTGGTCCCTGAGAAGAGGTGGCTGAAGGCAGCACGGAAGGGTGAGCATGTGGAGATAGAGGGCTGGCTGGCTGGGTGGCTGGGTGGCTGGGTGGCTGGGTGGCTGGCTGGCTGGGTGGCTGGCTGGCTGGGTGGCTGGCTGGCTGGCTGGCTGGCTGGCTGGCTGGGTGGCTGGCTGGGTGGCTGGGTGGCTGGCTGGCTGGGTGGCTGGCTGGCTGGGTGGCTGGCTGGGTGGCTGGGTGGCTGGCTGGCTGGCTGGCTGGCTGGCTGGGTGGCTGGCTGGCTGGGTGGCTGGGTGGCTGGCTGGCTGGGTGGCTGGCTGGCTGGGTGGCTGGGTGGCTGGGTGGCTGGCTGGCTGGGTGGCTGGGTGGCTGGGTGGCTGGGTGGCTGGCTGGCTGGGTGGCTGGGTGGCTGGCTGGCTGGCTGGCTGGGTGGCTGGCTGGCTGGCTGGGTGGCTGGCTGGCTGGCTGGCTGGCTGGCTGGCTGGCTGGCTGGCTGGCTGGCTGGCTGGCTGGGTGGCTGGGTGGCTGGCTGGCTGGCTGGCTGGCTGGCTGGCTGGCTGGGTGGCTGGCTGGCTGGGTGGCTGGGTGGCTGGCGTGGCTGGGTGGCTGGGTGGCTGGGTGGCTGGGTGGCTGGCTGGCTGGGTGGCTGGCTGGCTGGGTGGCTGGGTGGCTGGGTGGCTGGGTGGCTGGGTGGCTGGCTGGCTGGGTGGCTGGCTGGCTGGGTGGCTGGCTGGCTGGGTGGCTGGGTGGCTGGGTGGCTGGGTGGCTGGCTGGCTGGCTGGCTGGCTGGCTGGCTGGGTGGCTGGCTGGCTGGCTGGCTGGGTGGCTGGCTGGCTGGGTGGCTGGGTGGCTGGCTGGCTGGGTGGCTGGCTGGCTGGGTGGCTGGGTGGCTGGCTGGCTGGGTGGCTGGCTGGCTGGGTGGCTGGGTGGCTGGGTGGCTGGCTGGCTGGCTGGGTGGGCTGGCTGGCTGGCTGGCTGGCTGGCTGGCTGGCTGGCTGGGTGGCTGGCTGGCTGGGTGGCTGGCTGGCTGGGTGGCTGGGTGGCTGGGTGGCTGGGTGGCTGGGTGGCTGGGTGGCTGGGTGGTGGTTGCCCTGGGGTTCGGGCCAGTGTGCTCACTTGTTGGCGAAGCAGTGGGCTGCGGACACTACCCAGCAGGTGTGGACGAGGCTCCCAGCACAGAAGCTGTTCCCAATGTAGATGGCAGCCAGCCAAGGGTGTGAGCCAGGCAAAGACGACGAGCCGCCAATGATGCGCGGCCTCAAGAACGTCCTCTTCTTGTGTCTCTTGCCACAGGTTGGACGCGCGGTTGGGGCTGACGCGGCCAGGGTCACCAAGACCTCCGGGGGTTGGGACTGGGTTCTGACCAGGGATTCTGGGAGTGGAGGCCATCAGTTCACACCCCTGGGTTTCCCTGGAGACAGGGAAGATCCAGAGGCATCCTACCTGGACCCATAGCCCAATTCCTCAGGCCTAGCCCTGCTCTGAGCAGTCACCCTGGGAGCCTCTGTCCACCACTCTACAGAAGGGGAGAGTATAATGCAGGCTACAGGCCTTGGAGAGGTCGGGCCATCTGATAGAGTGAGCTCTGTCTCTCCTATAGTCTGGGACCCACTGTGACACACCCAAGATAGCCAGATATTCCCAGAATGAGAGCCAACCACCACAGGGTGCCACTGAGTCCCTTCCACTGGCTCCCGTCTGAGGTCCTCAGGGAGCTACCACCCTACTCCGCCCACCCCCACCTCTCAGGGTTCCCGCACCACAGGCTGTCAGGTGGCAATACTCCCATGACACGGCGTTGTCCTTCACCACATAGCACCAAGGCCTCTCGTCCTTGTCCGGGTTCCTGGGCCAGACAAAGGAGTCACACCACCACTCCCCCTAGGGAACCACCCTAACACCCAATGGGGTGGCCGCCCACACCAACACCAGAGCTATGTGCATGCTCGGCAGACCCTGGTGGGAACCACCCTAACACCCAACGGGGTGGCCGCCCACACCAACACCAGAGCTATGTGCATGCTCGGCAGACCCTGGTGGGAACCCTTGGCCCCACTCTCCCAAGAGACAGAGTTAATAGCCATCTTGGCAGTGTTGACCCCGGTGAGCCTGGGAAGCCCATTCTGTCCAATTCTTTGCCCACACACAATGAGGCATAGCGGCCGTTAGGTGCTGACCGGCAGTAAGCGTGAGGGCCCAGGCCAAGCAGGGCAGCAGCGCCCACTGAGTCCACATGGAGCTCCTGGTAGAGCAGATCAGAGTTCCAGGCCAGGCAGCTCAGGCCCGAGGCAGTGGTGCTGGCCACACCACGGTACTCTGTACCGTTTCCCAGGATGCAGAGCTCGGTGGGAACTGCGGGCACGGTGGGTGCAGTGAGGCCAAGCCACACCCCCGCCCCACCCCGCCCCGCCCCGCCCCGCCCGCTACCATTAAAAAGAGTGGCTTACCAATGTTGCAGAACCGCCCAGCGTAGCCCAGCGGGCAGGCGCAGACGCTGATTCCCGTGCCCACAATCAGGTGGCAGGTGCCTCCGTTCAGACAGGGACTGCTCAGGCAAGCTAGGGGAGAGCTCAGACACTGAACCTGGTCTCCCGGGACTAACATAGGGGGCAGAGTTCTTCCCCTGAGTCCTGTGGTTGGGTAGCCTTATGCTTGAGCGAGGAAGGGAGGGGCACCTGCTGGAGGGGCGTGGCTCACCACCCCCACAGTACCCTAGGTCTCACTGAAGCTGGCCGGGACATACCTGTGTGGTGGGTGCCTTCACACCGGGCCTGGCCTGCGGTGCAGCTGCACTGCTCCACGCTGCCCTGGCTCACACGGGCCCAGTGGTCTCCCACCTCAAAATACTCATAGCGCGTTTCATCAAAGCATTTCTCTGCGAGTCACACAGTGTTCCCACAGCACCCGTGCAGGACCCCTTCCCTAGGCAGGCACCACCCACCCCAGTGGCTACTCTCCCAGCCTCCCAGAATGGCTCCACTCCTGGGCCCCGAGGTCCCCTCACCTGTGCCACAGTCCTTGCCTGTGAAGGCCAGAGAGCAAGCACAGTGATAGGTCACATGGTCGTGGGTACTGGAACATGTGCCCCCATTGAGGCAGGGCCCAGAAGCACAAGGATCAAGGACAGCTGGGTACAGGCAGGAAGGGACACTATGGGTAGTGGCAAGAGTCTTTGAGGTCCCTCCGTATCCCTTGGCTGCCAAGGGCCTCTGGTGACCTCAGGCTGCCCTCTATAGGTTGCTTGGGTGAGCAAGTTCCCACCTCCCAATGCCCCCCCATCCCCCAGCGTCTGAGAAGGTGTCTCGTGGCTCTGTGACTGACACCCTACACTTTTACACACATTCTGCCCGGCCACAGGGTCCCTCCGTGTACCCTGGGACAGCACATAGTTTGTTCTTTTGAACTCCTGGTGCTTTCCAGGGTCTGTCCAAGGGACCACGTATGGCTACAGGGATAAACCTCACCACAAGAGGGCGCCCTGGTACCATCAATGGCCATGGAAGCCATCCACGTCTGGGTGAGGCACCCTATGCTGCCCTCCGGGCAGAAGGCTCTTTTGTCCCTACATACCCCCAGGCTCGGAAGGATGAAACTCACAGACCACCCTGCCCAGGGTCACCACTATCTCCACCCTGCTCTTTGACCCCTATGCCCCTGTCAAAGCCCTCCGGGGGCTCAGGCTAGCCCCTCCACACACCAACCTTCCACAGACAGGGTGGCCTCTGCACAGTAGCCCCAGGCCCGGTCCCGGTCATAGTTGTGTGTTGTAGCACACCTGAAGGGCGAGTTTGAGGATGACATGGAGTCCCTGCCCAGAGCCCCACCCTCCCTGCCTAGGCACCCGGGACACCTGATCTAGATCCACCTGCTTGGTGTTGAATCCTACCGGCTACCGATCTCGTCAAGGCCCACTGTGGGAACTTGGATGGGGTCCTCCGACCCTGCCCCACCCCAGGACTCACCACTTCCTGTAGGCACTTCCCTCAGAGGTACAGGAGTGCAGCATGCGGCCTCCATAGCGGAAAGGGAACCTGCATGGCTGCCCGGACTCAGTGAGCACTGTGGAGGGTGCAGGAGGCAAGGGTCAGGGGTTCCCACTGGGTACCCCACCCCTACCCCATGGCCCACTCTTATAGCAGCCTCGCAATCGCAGAGTCTGACCTACCTTGGCCCCCGGGGGGGCTGCTGGAGGGAGAGAGGGGACTTCCACCGTGGGGCCCCTCAGGCGCTGCCTCTGGAGCACTTGCTATTGAGGTGTTGAGGTTCCCAGAGGCCACAGGGATTGTGGGAGTCACGGGGGTGGCTGTGACATTAGGTCCTGGGGGCTCCGTATGGTTCTAGGAGCCCAAAGGGCCACAGTGATTGTCAGCATGGGACCCTCCTTCACACTTGGACTTGGAGTCAGGATGTCGTAGCCCTGAGCCTCCTTGGGGCAGGTCCAGGGGACAATGGATGTCTCCAAGACCTGCTCTGGCCGTTCTTGCCCAGTCTGAATGGTCCAACAAGCTAGCCTAGAGTCACAGGCCCCCGAGTCATCCTGGTCTTGAGATTCAACCCTGGAGTCAGTTGTGGGGTAGACAGGAAGAGCTGGAAGCTCTCAGAGGCATCCTATACCCCATCTCACACAGAGATGCAAAAGAAACCCTAGGGACCCCACACTCACAGGGCCTGTGCTACACAGGGGGCATCAAGAGGGTCCTAACAAGCCCAGGCCCCCAGGCCCTCCAGACCAGCCTAGCCCAGCACCCCACCTCTCTGTGTGAAGGGCAACCCCCCCCCACCGGGTCACCATACTAGACTCCTAGCCCACTCCTCACTCCTACTCTGGGGCCCTCTCCTCTCTCTGGCCTCTTCCCAGGAACCCTGAGTGGACATAGGGAGCCCTCGACCACAATGTGAGGGAGGAGGTCAGTGCTCACCCTGCCAGCCTGGGGCTGGGTCCCCCGAGGCTCCACCAGCAGCAGCAGGAGCAGCAGGAAGGGACATGGCTTGGATATGGGACAGGGGCTAGGAACCCAGGCCCGTTGCCCCATGGCTCCTCCTGAGCTGGCGTGAAGGGCAGCAGGAGCAGAGTAGCCCGGGAACGTGGCCAGGGCAGATGGGGTCAAGGCTACATGACAATGATTAACCCTACCTCTAACCCACGTGCACCCTGCCAGGATCCTCCTGACATGGCCATAGCTCCACCCTGCAGCCCCAGCTCTGCCTTCCCTGCTGGGGCAGCTGTCCGGCCCTAGTGAAGGCTTGCACTGCTCCTGGTCCCAACGCCACCCTCAAGTCTCAGCCTCTTCCAGGAAGTCTTCCAGGGTGACTTGGGCAGGTCAGGGACAGGCCTCTCTGGCATGTGTGAGTCCTTTACAGGGGCTTGCTAAATGCAGGGTTCTGGAGGTCTTCCCAGCCTGTCACCGACTCAAGGTGAAGATGGTACTGTCCCCAATTCACAGATGCCAATACAGGGTAAAGGGTGCCTCCTCTCCCGGGGCCACATAGCAGCTAAAAAGAGAAGGTTGCTCCCTGGCCAAGTGCTGTGACCAGTGGCCTCAGAACAGTAACTCTCTCTGCTTCTCTATTTGTCTGCTTGTCCTAAACCTGGGGTACCTAGGACCCCCAGATATGCATCCTTACCAGTCTGGGCACTGCTAGTAAGCTTTCCCAGCCCTGTGGGCATAGCTTACATGACCCAAGTTGGGCAGCCCCATAGCTGTGGCGGCAGTCAGGCACTGGGGGCCCTAGGCAAGCTGAAGCAGAAACCTTACACCCATGCCTCCAGCTGTGCAGACACCAAGCAGCATCCAAACTTGTTAAAGCCGGTGCTGGAAGCGTGGTGGGGCATGGTGGGTACTGAGGACATGATGGTACTGGGAAATAGTGATGCTGGGGCACACTGAATACTGGGTCAAATGGTGAGTGCTAGGACATGGTTGGTACAGGGGACATGGAGTTGCTGGGATGTGCATGATGGGTACCAAGCATGCTCTCCACGAAACCTTCCAGCCCGCCCAATTCCAATGCCAGGGAGGGTTTTGGGGTAAGCCCCCCAGCAGTGGGCTGCCCAGTGCTGAGGCATCCTAGGTCCATGGCAGTATGCCTTGCAGGCTCAGCCCAACACCACCCAACGGCCCTTTACCCCCATGTCCTCGCTGATGCCCTGTCCTATCAGGACTTCTTATTCTACAGCCAGGGTTGCTCCTGTCAGACCTTGACATACTTGGCTCTTGCGCTAGACCTTGTCTACAGTCAGGTTTTAACTCAGATGTCCCTCTCCGGAGACTCTCCCGGGTCACCTGAATCAGACTAGGGTGGGGAGCAGGGTCAGTGGGAAGAGGGCTCCACTGCACAGTGGAGAGAGTGGACAGGAGAGAGACCACAGTGACCACACTGTAGCTCTCAAGCAAGGCCCCGACCCCGGATGAGACAGAAGAACACAGATGTCCAAGAAACCCAGGTCATCTGCAAGGGGCAGTGCAAATGGACAACACTGGGGTGTAGCTAGCCTCATTATTCTAGGGGTAGTCTGGAGGCCACACATCTGAGTCTGAGTGTAGGAGGGGATTCTGACCTTCAGCTCCCAGGCACAAAGCTACCTTCTCCATACAGCCACCTCATGGCCAGACACCATTTCCTCCCTGGGATTCTTTCTTCCTGGGGCTATGTCCAAGAGTGAGGGCTCCTGGGGTAGTGGTAGCATGTGACACCAGCACTTAGCACAACACAATACAAGGCATGTCTTCAGAAACATTTTATTGGGCAAAGTCTGAATGCTAAGGTAGGCTGTGTGGAGGTGTCTAAACCCAGCCCCTGTGACGAGATGCTTTAGTTCCTGAGGACATTGTGGCTGAGGGGGCTCCTCCCAGGACCCCGAGGACTCATTGTTGAAAAACAGGTCCCTGCTGTCTCAGAGTCACATCCTTCCCCTCATATGAACATAGAAGACAGTGCAGGCTAGAGCAGTAGGAATTGTAAGATCAGACTAGCTTCAAACAAAGGTGGCATGGTGTGTGCTGGCCTTGGGCCTGCTGGGCTCACCTGGGATGGGGCTCAGGCCAGGACCATTTGCTAGAAAGGGTCCATCAGCTTTCACCCTCCTGGGGCCCTGCCGTGACCCCAGGATGCTGCCGCCCCACCCAGGAGACACACCCGTAACGAGGTCCACATCGATGATCCTGTTGACTGGGAGGCTTCCGCTGCCTCGGGCCCTGCCCCCTGTCACAGGGAGAAGAGAAGCTGTCACCTGCTTGCCTCAGCTTTGGGCTTCCAAAACCCACCCTCTCATCCCTGCACAGACACCAAAAATACCCCAAATCCACTCCAGACAAGATGACCTCCAGCCATAAGGCACAGACCTGGGCAGGAGGGCTGGGAAGGTCAGAGGACATCAGACGCCAGTCATCATGCCTACCAGGAGCCTCCACAGATGATTCTCCTAATAGGCCACCTCATGGTGAATGGCTCTGACGGCAGGCAGTCCCACAGTCTCAATTGGGAGGCTCATGTATCACAGGCTCTTCTGACTTGAGGAAGGGACCCAGGCCTCTGGGGACTGGGGAGCCCTGGGCAGTCCTTGGCCCTAGTCCTTCCTGTCCCAGGACTTTCTTACACTTGTACACCTGTGCCCTGGCTTCATCTTCAGGCTGCTCAGGGGGTTTCCCCCACTAGGGGGGCATCTCACTAGATGCTGGCCCTAGCAGCCCCTTCCGCCCCCCCCCCACCTGGAACACCACTGATGCATGTTGTTCCTCTGTTGGGCACCTGTTTGGATAGCTGTCCTCATCTTCCAGGATGGCAGCTAGACTCCTTCCTGACAGGCTTCCAGTGGGGACATTGAACTGACTCCAGGCCAGGGCTGGAAGCCTGGAGGTGGGTTCATCCAGTGTGGGGCTGGAGTGGCCAGGACAGCTTAGGACAACCCAGAGGGGTAGATGCACCCTGGAGTCCAGTAGGTGTCTCAGAAAGCAGGCAGGGAGGCTGTCTCTGAGCTCCCACTGAGACCTCCTCATGGTCTCTTCCCTGGCCCTAGTGAAGCCCAGAAGCACAGATCAGGTCACCTACTTCAGTTCCCAGTCACCTTGTCCTGATTGCGCACCTTTACCCCGTTTCTCCTGGGCACTGTCTGCATCCTTCAAGCCTTGGAGAGCCTAGGATGCTCCCTTAACGGGTCTCCCAGCCCAGATCCCCTACCCTCCGTCCTTTCTTTTCCTAGTACTAGGGTCATCGTCACCCACACAAACTCCTCTTGGTCTGTAGAGCCCCCTGACTCCCATGTCACAAACACTTGTAGCCACCTGCTCCTCCCTGTCACCAACCTGTTGTCTCCACTGTCACTGTCGCTTTCTTGCTGAGGTCCTTCTGAGCTCTCCTCACATTCTCATCTTTGTTCTGAATGTCTACTCCATTGCCCCAGCTGCCCAAAACTGCCTTGGAAGTTTCTAGATCTCAAGATGGGTTTAAAAATCCTCACTTCAGCCGGGCGGTGGTGGCGCACGCCTTTAATCCCAGCACTCGGGAGGCAGAGGCAGGCGGATCTCTGTGAGTTCGAGGCCAGGCTGGACCGACAGCCTCTAAAACAATACAGAGAAACCCTGTCTTGTAAAACCAAAATAAAAATCCTCACTTCAGGACTACCTTGATGCATCTGGTTGGCTATTCACGGGCCTTGCAAGAAACTTACCCATCTACTTTGGATTGGGTGATATCCCCACAACCAAGTAATAGTCTGCAGGGATCTGGGAGTAGCTCCATTTGGGGCAGGTCTCAGGTCCCCGCATTACACTATCCTGAGCTCCTAGCCATGGGTTAGCGCCACCAGTGTTAAGGCTCTCAGGGAGTCCCTGAGTATGCCACCTTCCCTCTATAGACTGAGATCAGAATGCTCTGCAGAGATGGATCCCCACTTCACTCCACCTTTGGGAGCCCACAGGCAGGGTGGGGCCATCCCTGCCAAACCCACAGGGGACAGACTGGAGAGTTCCGTTCTAGGCCACAAGAACCTGGAACATGGGATTATATTCTACCAACCAACCCAGACTCAGTTTCCCCAATTATAACAGAGGGCTTGCCTAACAGACACAGGGATCAGGTTTGTGATGGTCCAGCCTCTCTGTGGACTCCAAGGCCCCTGGACTCTTCATATCTCACCTTAATCTGGTCCCAAGCTTCCAGAAGTGGCTTCCACGAGGCCTTGTGTAGCAAGTGCAAGCTTAAACTCAGAGGCACAATGTCTCTACTAAGGGTCTCCAGCTCATCCTTTGACAAGTTCAGGGGACACACGAAGAGGCTCATCAGCCTCAGTTGGTATCAGTACCAGGGTGCCAACACACAGTGTGGGTAAGACTGGAACTCTCCCAGTCTGCCCTACAGTCATGCAGCAAACATTCTGCTAGGGCCTGCTGGGATCCAGTCTTGCCCCTACCTATTCTGCTGGTCATCAAACCTCCATGGCTCCAAATGGCATGGCAGTAAGATGGTATGTAAAGAGGCCAGCCATCAGTCCTCCACCAGTGGTCACCATCAGGGCATTTGTGTAGAGTGCCATCAGGTTCTGAAAGAGCCAGTGACCCCACACAGGTACAAGAGGCCCGTGTAGGACCCTCCATCCCTGAATGGACACTCAGGAACAGACTCCAACCTCCAGCAGCCTCGTGTTCCCAGAAGGGGATAAGACATATTTTCTGGGGATCAAGGAAGTATACCTCAAAATAAGAGGCACCCTTACTCTTCCTGCCTTCCCAGCCCTGCCCTGCCAATGTGGCAAGTCCCAGGCAATGAGTCAGACAGCAACCATATGCCACAACCAGCCTACCCCCAAGGCCCCACAGAGCTCCCTAGGCTGGGAGCAATGCATGGGACCCCACACTGGTTTCCAGGAGACGCTAGGCAGGGCCAGTCTGGGGCAGCAAAGCCTACACCACACCTCCTGGGGTTCTCATTGAGTACTCGAGCACCCAGACCACGGCCAAGTCAGCATCTCATTTCCTGGCCCCCGGGCCACCCACTGACCTTTCTCTTTGGCACATTGGTCCATGGCTAACTTGTCCTATGAGGCCCATGCAGCCACTCTGACAAGGTCTTTGCCAGAGCATCAGACTGGGAACTACAGGCCCCTCTCTAGGAGCTGAAGCTTTCCTTTGCCTCTCTGTCGGCACTGATACCGTCTGTCACCTCTTCATTTGCCTGTGGATATTGCCCCAGCTGCCGCCTGCTCTGGTCTGGGCATGCCTACCCTGCAGCCCACCCTTAGGGTTCCGTGCCACACAGCTAAGAAAGGCTGAGGGTTCACCTCCTAAGCCCTCTCTCAGGGTCCAGCCCTCGCTGCCTGTCCCTCTTCCCTTCCTGTCTCCGCAGGGCAGGGGTGCTGCTCTGAGCTATGACTCCAGACCTTCAGGATTGTGTGCACTACCTGATCCTGCTGCCTCCTGCCAGGGCCCCCAGATGCTCCTAGAAACAGCCCAGGCAAGGTGAACCACAGATGCAGGAAAACCTGGAAGGAGGCAGCAAAGAGGAACAGAGGCCAGGGCCTCATCCTGGCCATTCCACAGTTCACACAGGGGCCTGCCAACTCCTGGCTCATGACCCCTGGTCACTACCTGCCTTCACAAAGACCCCACTCAGGATCAGGGCTGTGACAGGCCAGGCTAGATTGCAGTTCCGTATTCTACAAACACTTCCTGGGCTTTGGGCACATGATCCCCTGTGGCTAGGATGGACAGTGGTGTCGGGAACACAGTGGACAGGGAATGGGGAATCTAGAGGATGGTACCTAGCAAGGCTGGCATGCGAGGGTAGGGGCATTCAAGAAGTCAGCAGGCTTAGGGAGGGCCTGTGCTGGAGGGCGTGGGGATGGGGCGGATCAGGACAACAGGGCAGACGTGAGCAAGGCTGGAAGGTGAGGCCCTTGTAAGTCAGGCCTGGAGTCTGTAGTAGTACAAACAAAAAGCCCAGTCCCGGGCATCAAGAGGAATCTGAGATCCACTTGATACTAGACACTGGACAAGGTCTGGTACCAGACGGGTGGCCTCTGGCAGATGGCTTTCTTGGTAACTTGGTAAACTTACCAGGGTCAGCCCCAGGGGTGATGAGTTCTGAGCTGTGTCTGTGCCTCATGAGGGCTGAGCTTCCAGGGTACAGATCCCTTGAGGACATGAGAGATATTCTGGGAGCCATGGGAACAGAACGGGATGGCACTTGCCAAGGACGAAATGTCCGGATGGAGCTTGAGTCCAGCAAGGCTGTGCACCATCACTCCAAGCTCAGCAAGTGTGACACCATGCAGGGCTGGGGAAGGACCCAGGCTGGGGTGGGAGATAAGCCTGACAGACACTGCTGGTCACAGAGCAGCAGTCACCATATCGTTACCTCCAGGGTGAGGAACTGTCACAGACTTTGTCCCAGGCCTCAGCCACCTCTGGATGGGTAGGCAGAAGGGTGAAGAGCTGCAGTGGGAACTGAGCTGGGAGCCCACACATAACTACTGTGACATGTTAAGTCCTGGATGGCCCTGTGAAGGCCCTTCCATAAGGGATCATGGCTCAGCCCTTTGGAGCTGTTATTTCTTGGGAGCCTCCTGTGGGGCTGGGGTTGAGGTTGGGCAGGGAGCTCTGCCTAGCCAGGTATTCCTAGGAAGCAGGCCATG